AGATCTTGAATTTGGGAGAACAGCTGAACTTAGGGGGGTAGAACACCAAATTTATAATAGTTAATTTTAAGGTCACCAATCATTTCTTAGCGCAGCCATCATATATTGTTATATCTTACATATATGTATATATAGAGAGATAGATAGATGGATATATAATGCAGAGTAACTTATAACTGACTTTGCAATAGCCACTAGCACAAGAAAAATTAGCACTACAGCTAATCAAATTTGCAGTATAATGAATTATGTATACAATGACTGTTGTGTTGTGTCCATTACTTTACTTTCCACACAGAGTACTTAAGTTTCTATCTCCTTTATCTTCACTGAAGCCAGAATGATCAAGACTCAAATTCTCTTAACTGATGCATTCAGGTGCTATTTAAATACTGACTCTCGCTGTCTTTTATTGATTTGAGCTTTCCTTAGAAATACAGAATTGAGTTTTCTTTCGAAAGCTCACTGAAGATCTCATTTTTAAAATAATAAATGATTCTCTGAAGGGGATTCATACCAAATAGGTATACTAATTTGTATGTTTACAACAGGGAAAATGTCATTAGCTAGAGGTGCATGAAATGAGATCTTGCATTCCCCAACAAAGATTTTCAAACTTCTGTAGCCTCAGAGTTTCTACTAATGAATGATTGTTTACAAGTTCAGTTATATCTTCTAGTGGATGAGCGATGATATTATTTGACTTGTTTGTCAAGATATATTATACAACTCAGTTCTACTAAATATGTTTGGCCTTAGAATGTTAAGTTGCTGCAGCTCACTAACCTCCTGCAACTTGCCTGAAGCTCAGATTGATCTTCCTAGATGAATGATTGCAAATACGTTTTAATTTACAATTCATTAATTTCATGAAATGCCATTAAAATATAATCAATTCCATAGCTGAAATAACTGCATATCAATTTCTAATTGCTGCACACTTTTACTTTTCTATCTGAAATATTATATATATATATATATATATATATATATGAATCCAATGGTGGGCACTGGCCTATTTAGCATTGGCCACCATTAAGTCCAGAAGTGATGGCCATTTTATTGCAGAGGCACCTAACACATGACCACCGGTGCCTCATATGAAGGAAGGGACAGTTACAACCGTGCCATCTCTGGAATTCGAAGTCAGGCCCTTCGGTACTGCTGTAGGCTTCCCTAACCACTATACCATCTGGATGACTCTATCTGAAATAATGACAATGCCCTTATATTTCTTATAATCTTGGGTATATTTCCTCTGTACATGGCTCAGTATGATAATAGTGTAAGAACTTTGTTCATGATTATATAAATATAACAGGACTTTCCTACTATATATCATAAAATGTTAAATTACCTAAGTTATCCTTTAATTTTGCATATCAGTATAATTAATTAACTTTTCAGTATGTATGTATATATCTATATATGTGTGTGTGTGTGCATGCATAAAATCAAGAGATAATAATTAAATAAGTAATGTTGGCAAGCTGACTAGCAGGAATAAATCAAAAGTGAAACAGAAATATAAATATTTTGCAAAATAACATATTTAATGTTGGCAAGTTATATTTAAGTTTGAAATACTGTAAGACCTCGCTTAATGCTGTTTCAGTATTACATAGTAGTTTGGGGATTCTCCAAAATCACGTGCAGTATCAGTTTTGCTGTGTTGATTTAGGATGTAAAGTGGCAAAAGACTTAACACTTGTACTGGGTGGGAATGTTAATGAGAACTTTAAATTAAAACCACTGCTTGCTTAGCATTTCAAAACCCTAAGAGCATTGAAAGGAATTTTAAATTTATCTTTACCAGTAATTTGGGAGTCAAATAAAAATTCTTGAAATATTAAAAAAAATTTCGAGAATTTGTTTACCAAACCTTTTTGCCCATCAGTTAAACACTACTGAGATTTTAAAAAACTGGAATCGAAAGCTTTACTTTATATTGCTAATGCTTCAAGCCATTTAATGTATTTGCCTGCATAAATTTCAGTAGAAGTGCTTTTCCCACTGCCAAGTAAAATTTCATGAATACAACTGATGGAGATCAAGGTTTAATATCAAATTTTAATGCTTATTATCTAAGGTAGACATTCTGACAACTGACTGATAAACCCAATGGAGGAAATAAACAATCCATTAGAGATTTGAGAAACTACAGTATCATGGATGCTGTAGGTAACATCAGTTTTTCCTAAGCTGAAGTGACTGAGAAACATTCAAAAGGAGTATGGAAGAATGTATGGCCAAAGCTAAGCAAGAATGTTGGCACAAGAAAATCCATTTTTGATATAACAAAATTTTCAGGCTAGCTAATGAAACAGGGTTGGATAATATAAATGCAGAATATCGAAGAATGTTTTAACTTACAACTAGTTTAAGTCTTTCAAATGACAATCTTAAATGAATTAGTTGAACAAAAAGTGCTTAAAAATGGTGAAATTAGTGTTTCTGTAGATGAGGATTAAGAGGAACTTCCAATGGATTTTCTAAAAAAAAGTTTAACCTCTTTAATTTAAATTCTGGGTCAATTTGTACAAAATGATTTAAACTTTGACAGATGTTCAAAGGTAAGACGAAGTATCATTGATGTGATGATATCTTGCTGTTGATAACTACCATATTTGACGGCATATAAGACGTACTTTTTTCCTAAATTTGGTCTCAAAAAAGTTAGTGTCTTATACGTGAAGGACACAGGTTAACTTTCAAAACTGAATGCTATTTTTAACCCAGATAAAGGTCTAGACACAATTAATGTTTTCTACATCTGCCATAATTATTTTGTGCATGCGTGAAATATCTGTCGCCAAAAAGCACCAAAGCTCGAAGCTGATGTCGAAGTTTGAATAGGTTGGACGGTCACATTACGTCTATGGAGCCTTTCCTTCTTTACATAGACTTTCTTTGATTCAGCCGACACATGTGTCATTATCGGTGCTACTCAGTATAAACGTGTCAGTATCAGTGCTTAAAACTATTTGTTTAAAAAAAATACCCTGGAAAATATGACTACAAGAAACAAGAGATTAAGCTATACAATTCAGTATAAACTAGGATGTTAAACTACGCCAAAGTGCATGGAAACAAAGCAGCAGCAAGGCATTTCGGTCCACCACTTACCGAAAAAATGATACATACTTGGCAGGAAGATCAACTGAAGACTGCTAAAAAACAAAAACATAACCTTCGATGCCCAGCTCCATCTTGGCCTGAACTTGAAAATGCCGTAAAAATGTGGGTGATAGATAGGGATAACTGTTTCAATTAAAATGATAATCAGTAAGGGCCAAAGGATTTGCAGAAAAACATGGGAATCAGATCTTTTCAGGGTCTGAGCGCTCGTGCTATAGGTTCATGAAAAGGCAAGGCTTATCAATGCACACAAAAAAAAAAAAACTTTGCACAGAAAATGCCAGCAGATTATGAAGAAAAAATGCTAGCATTTCATAGGTTTGTTATAAATGCATGCAAGAAAACTTCTTTTAAGCTCGGTCAACTAGGAAATATGGATGAAATTTCCACTCACATTTGATCTACCATCCAACAAGACTGTGAGTATTAAAGGGTCTAAAACAATAAACATAAAAACCACAGGTCATGAAAAAACCCGATATACGGTAGTTCTAACATGTTGTGCTGATGGTACAAAACTACCGCCGTTTTTCATATTCAAAAGAAAAACTCATCTGAAAGAAAAACTTCCAATGACTGTAATTGTTCATGTTCATCCGAAAGGCTAGATGGACGAAGTTGGAATGAAACTGTGGTTACAGAACACATGCGTGAGGCGACCTGGTGGACTCTTAAGAAAACCCTCTCTTTTGGTTTTGGATCAGTTTAGTGCCCATAGAACTGAAACCATAAAGAATAAAGTGAGATAATTAAAAACACAGATAGCTGTCATTCCTGGTGGACTGACTAGCTAATTGCAGCATTTAGATGTATCACTGAATAAGCCATTTAAGGAAAAAGTACGAGAACGATAGAACAAGTGGATAGGAGAGCCACATCATGACCTCACACCCTCAGGTAGAATAAAGCGGCCCCCTATATCACAAGTGCTCGAGTGTGTAAAAAGATCTTGGGAGGACGTAAAGGCTGAAGTAATTGTTAAGTCCTTTAAGAAGTGCAGAATCAGTAATGCTCTTGACGGAACAGAAGATGACTCTTATTCGAAGAAGGGGATACTAGCGATGACAGAAACAGTAGTGATGACGATATTCTCATTTTCGATGATGATGATAGTGAAAAGGATTTTTATGGTTTTGAAAGTGATTAAAGGTCTAATTTTGTGATAGGCAACGTTTTCCTTGAATCTGTGTTTTTTTTTGTTGTTTTTTTTTTTTTTTTTTTTTTTTTGTTTTGTTTTTTTTTCTGCTTTATTTTGTATTATGTTTGATTGCTTGCCATTCATTCATTTATTCATTATTGAAATTTACATATCATGTTCAAAATAGCTTGCCGTTTGTTAATTTTCCTTAATAAAAATATGTTTGGTAATTGCATTCAATGATTGTTTATTTGGCTTTTACGAAACGTGAGAACTAAAAGAAACCACATTTTAAGTTATTGTGGTACCGCGCTGTTGCGTGGACTATTGAAACTTTTTTTCCTTGTGTGTGGCTTTCTAAATAAGGTTGTGTCTTATATGCCATCAAATACAGTACTTGCTGAACAGAAAAAGGAAAAGCTGCACAACGCTAAATCACTTCTTTACCTAAAAAAAAAAAAAAAGAGTCAAATGGGGAAGAACCTTCTTCATCACCAACATATATCTTTTCTTGATTATTTTCTCAATCTCTCTTTTATTTTACTTATCCCCATTGTTTATGTATTAACCTTGTTTAATGTCGTTTCATTGATCCTTGGAATTTACTGGTACTTATTTCCTGCATTAAGAGGGTCTTATTGTGTATATTTATGTGCTTTTTCTTATCACAAACATACCATTGGACAATAACTTTTTTTTATTAATTTTTTTATTTATTTTTTAGGTTATTTGTGGTAGTTTATTTGAAGTTGTATGGTCTAGTTTACGAGATGGATCATTTGGTCTCTCTGTATTAAGAGCATTGAGACTGCTCAGGATTTTTAAAGTTACAAAGTAAGTCATTAATACTGATATATATATTAAAAGATCAAAGTACATTTTAATAGCATGTTGATTCTTACAAGGGCTCTAATACTGTCAAGGCACTGACACACCAAATGCTGGAAAAATTGAAAATACACTCTTTTGCAAAAAAATTGAAATACCAAGAAGGACTTTTGCGATCGTGGAGAAATTTGGTATGCAAAAACATCTTGATTGAACATGCAAATGATCAAAGTTTCAATGCAAATGAACAGGAATTGTGATCATAATGTGCATTTCTAGTATGCAATTTGCAAAGCATAAAACCAGTAACAGAGGCAGAAAGTTTATCTTTTTTTGTTGCTGCCATTGTAATTCCGTAAAGAAGCAACTAATGATGCCATTACAACAATATCGAAGACCTTACAGACAACTAAACGACTTTGAACATGGTAGCATTGTAGGGCTGCGTGAAGCTGGTTAGTCATACCCAGCAATAGGCCACCACCTGCAGTGTACAGACACTGCTGTGCAAAGATGTTGGCAGCAATGGTTGCTACAAGGAGCTGTCGACAAAATGAAGGCTCTGGAAGGCCAAGGAGCACAAATGCGAGGCAAGATAGGATGTTTGCCAGGCCTGAACCCCCCTAACGGTATCATTGTTGACTATTCAGCGCACTGCAGCCACGTCTATAACTCCCGTAGTACTGTCCACCATCTAACGCCACTTGTCTGAGGCGGGGTTATGCTCACAAAGGCCTTTAAGACGTTTGCCTTTGACCCCACAACATCGGCAGAGTCGTCTGGAGTGGTGTCGCAGCCGATCATCATGACTGCCATCAGAAAGGCATCGAATGGTGTTCAGTGATGAATCCCGCTTCATTCTTGAAGTAGATGACCACCATGTTCATATCTGAAGAAGGGCAGGGGCCAGCGGTCTTAATCAGCCTTTGTTTTAAAAAGCCATAACCTCTGGTATGATGGTGTGGGGTGCTATTTTTTATGACAGCAGGTCATCTTAAGGCGTCCTCTGTACATCTTTAACAGCTCAATGATATGTTGATGCCATCCTGCGGCCGGTTGCATTACCCTTCATGGTACGTCATCCTGGGACCATTTTCCAACAAGGTAATGGCAGGCCACATACCACTCGCATATCTCTGGATTGTCTCTGTGTGGTTCATACTCTTCCTTGGCCAGCAAGATCACCAGACCTATCACCAATCGAGCATGTCTGGGACATAGTAGGCCGCCAGATTCGGTTGCCACAAAATATCTCAGATCTGGAGCAACAACTGTTGAATGCCTGGCAGAATGTGTTGCAGAATGATATTAGGGACGTCTATCACTCCTTGCCTCAACGAATTCAAGCATGCATTGCCGCCAGGGGTGGTTCGACCAACTACTAATTAGAACACTCAATGGGTGATTGTGAGCCATGAACAGGTACTATGACCTTGATTTTTTAATCATTTTATTATCTGTGTATGAGCTATACACATATTCAATTTCATCAAAAAACAACCACTTCCTTCATGGTGCTTCATTTTTTTTTTTTTTTTTTTTTTTTTTTTTTTTTTTTTTTTTTTTTTTTTGCAAAAGAGTGTAATATTTGTTGCAACCTCTTCCGAAATTCCACCCTAGATATCGGTTTTGGATTTATGGATTTGATACTTTGCTCAACAATATCCCACAAATTTAATAGAATTTATAACTTGGAACTTAAAGGCCCATTATATGGTCAACTTGATATTATTCTTTTGTGAAGGTTAAATTTTGATGTATTCTGTAACAGGTAGAACATAATATCCAATAATATGTAGTTAGCATGATTGTTTATTTCTCTAGGCACAGTGTGCAGAATGACTGGTATAGAAAATTCATTTTTAGAATGAGGAATGAATTTAAATTTTAAAGTTGCCAGCTAATAGTTACTTACTAAACATTTCATAACAATTCCAGTTTGGTAAATCATTTGTACATGGTTAAATTACTTGGAAAGCTATGGTTGAAATACTTGGTTCAACAATAGTTAAAATACTTGGAAAATGTTTATACTACTTGCACTGTAATATATTGTACTACTCGCATTAACTCTTAATTGCTAGTCTGCCTATGCAGAAAATAGTTTGCAAACAGTTCATGCAATGCAAACTGAGAATTTTTTCAAAATTGTTGAAATATAAAATCTGCAGTGTGTTCCATATCATTTGCTTGCTGATGTATATTGAGATTTTACATAGAGCCGTAATATAAATCTGCCACATCATCATTCTTTAGCTGTACCAGCATGGACAGTTAGTTACATTAGTGCTGATCATGACTGATGAAATATGAATGCCTGAATGGCCACCTTCTCAGCATTGGTATATCTGTTAATGATATAACCATGATGGTCCTTTAATTTAGTTGCCTGTGTGACTATATCAAGCTTATTATTGCTTTAGGAATAGAATATTCTATTTGCATTGCTCCAATAGTATATTTAATCAAAGTTGCCAAGCTGTTCACATTTACATATATATTTTGGTTATGATATGTTTTCAGGGTGTTCACTTATTTAATAGTTTGCTTTTCATTCAGAAATATTCTTCTTCTTTTGGCAGTAATTTACATAAATGTTATTCTGATATATGAGTCATTCAATATACAAGATGTTCCACTGAAGCAGCAACAAACTCAAATAAGTGACAATAGGCATCAAAAGGAACAAAAGTTGTCATGGGAGATGCAATGTCACAAATAATATTTAGGTGGTGAAAATCATAAAAGTACCTATGCAGGATCTGATGTTGAATGAAGACAAAAGTAAATACAATAATATGTGCAAAACAGAAAATTTAATTTGAGGATGTGTATTATTCCCCAGCCTGTGGTGCAGAGTACAGTGATGAAAAAAAGATGATCAGAAATTATTGCAGAAGTTGTTTGAAGTGAGAGTTTTACAAGTTACTGAGTAGCTCACAGCAACAGAGAAATGATTGTTGAATGTGCTCGAAGGTATTGGGTGTTCTGTTGATGTCTGCCACTGTGAAGATAATCTGAAATTTGAGATCCTCTAGTGTCTTGTGTTCTTTCAACAACATATGTTAATGCTGACAATGTTTCTTGCACAAAGCTGGCCATATCAAAGAAAAAGAATAGCATGAAATTTTGAATTATTCCTGGTGGCTTTCAGCATGCTGAGCTTTCACATGAGTGTATAAACTTTAAGTTCAGCTGCAACTGCATGTATACTTGTGGACAGTTAATTAGCAAAGTATTGCAATATGCAGACTTCCATTTCAAACTATGCACACATTGTACTGTTGCTCTACATCACACTTTGCTGCCTTGGAGGACTCTGTCTCCTACAGTCATTGATAAATATCAATGTTCTCAAATATGATGCTCTGTGGACAATACCTCTTCAGATATTGTTCTTGGTGTATCTGCTAGGCTAAGGTCCATTGCCACTTGATCAACCATAATTCAAATGAATATTTCTCATTTATGTAGTCAGCTGTGCCATTCCCAAACAAAGCAAACTCATAACTGCTCCATCAATTTCCAATCACAGTGGTGTTATTTTCTATCAGTTCAACCTATATTCATACCCTAGTATATATTTTGTGATGCTACTTGCATCAAATATAATGAGCCAACCCATGAGCAAAATTGATTACTGCCTTCTCTTTCCACTTGATATCAAACCTTTCATAGGTATTTGTTTTCTTCATAGGTATGATTTATGACAGCGTGTTTCATGGAAATTTTTGTTCATTTTTATGTCTGTTGTCACTCTTCTGGGTTTGTTGCTGCTTCAGTAAAACACTTTAATGTATGTGTAATATGAATTTTTAATTAATTTTTCAAAGCCATTTTTTTTTCTAAAAAATTTTTCCTTTATGTTCTAAAGCTGAGTCTTTATTTTTTTAGTTTTAGATAGTCTTTATTTTTATAGTGTTTAGATACTTTTTTAGACACTTGCTGAGTTGCTCTTAATTATGTAATAAAGTTAGGCTGGAATAATTAGCCATAGGTATTTAGTTACCTCCTCTATTTATCTATAATATAGTACAATGCTGGATCCCTTTGCAATAATTACTTAAAATGCACAAATAATAAATATGAGCCATCTGAAAAGTATATCATTGCTTGCCATGATTTAAAACTTCAGGTAATATGATGTGCAGTGCAAATTTTTAATTTCTTTAGTAAACAGAAAATTAATATTGTTGTCTGCCACTGTGAAGATAATCTGAAACAGTTTGGCTTTATCTTGGCTTTATTGTGTCAACCATCTAGCATATTACTAAATTTAGGACTGAGTGGTAATTATCTCTAATTTATCTGTCTTGGTGTTAAAGTTACGTCTCATACAGTTATATTATTCTAAATTAGAGAAAATAATGACAGATTTCTTATATCAGTCTTTTCTATTTCTATGTAGCTTCTTTAATATTCTGTCATTACTCTATTTTTTTTTTTTTTTTTTTTTTTTTTAATGTAACAAAATTAGTTTTTACTACAGAGCTTAAAATTAGTTATTGACAGAGTTATATATTAAGACAAAATAATTATATTTATAATGTTTATATTAAATCAAATAATTACAATTATTCTGTTTTTCTCCTTAAGCCTTTAGCTTACCTTCACATTACATTTATGTCTAGTGTGAAATTTTTGTTTTCCTGAAATATTTTATGAATTAAGCTTTTAAAGATGCCATTTTTCATTACAGGTATTGGTCATCTCTTCGAAACTTAGTTATATCATTGCTCAACAGTATGCGTTCCATTATCAGTCTGTTGTTTCTGCTCTTCCTTTTTATACTTATCTTTGCTCTTCTTGGTATGCAACTATTTGGAGGAGCGTAAGTTTATTATTAAGATTTCATGCAATATAAGATTTTTAAAAGAAATGTGTTTATACTGAAGTGTATCAATAATTATTAGATTACTCCTGTTTAATAGAAATCTTTCTTGTATCAGTTGTATGTATAGCAGCATGATATTCCTTGTGTTGAATATGAAAATTGTTTTATGCTTTTACGGTTTAACTTAACACATGGTGCCAGACACACCTAACAACAAAAAAAGTATATAATCATATAAACATTCATATCATATCAAACAATCATATAGTGGTAGTACAAATTAGATTTTAGGTTCGTGTTGTGAGAAACCTATGCAAAAGGAAAAATCAATAACACAAATTCAATTAAAGCTCCATCTTCCTTAAAAGCCTACCAGCTCAAACAAATGGAGTGACATGACAGACCAAAGTAAGTTAACACACATGAAATTCGCGACATGACATTTGTATTGCTGCTGCAATTACTTTTGCTCATGATTTTGCTAATCAGAAAAAAATTATATTTGTGTATTTATGCCTGCTGATGCATCACCAAAAATACTAGCCCTGACACTGATTCCTAAAAGTGTAGAAACTATTCTAGATTCTTCTGGAATAGCTTCTTTTTCTTTTCTTGTTAATGTCCTCCTCACTAAGGATACAGGAAAATGGATATAGCTTCTCTTTTTAAAATCAAAGATAACTTTATACCAATTAGAGCAAGTTCGTATCTGCATTGTATTATGGTAACTCTTGCCTTGCAAAATGTTTTTGGAGTAATGTCTGTTTCTCTCATATTATATTTTATTTCATTTTGCATTATGCATTTACTAATTTTTCAAGAAATGAGGCAGAAATAATCCATTAAGCTTCCAATAAATATAAATGAAGCAGAGAACAGTAGTCTGTTATAATTTTGAATAAAGTTCCCAAACAGTACTTGCAGGGGGGTAACTTTTGCTGATGCCAAAAATACATTTCATTCCTTAAAAGAAAGTTTTAAAAGGTACCAGCAAATTATTGGCTGTGTGCAGCAGGTACTAGCTAATGCCTAGGTGCCAAAGAAAATTAATAAATAAAGATATTTTTGTAAATCAATTAAATTCTTTACTATAAGATATTAGACTAAAATTTTTTTTGCATAACTTTTTCAATATTTAAATAATCACTGATTTTGCTAATGTTTCATTTGTGTTATATAATTTCTGTTTTTATTTATAGCTTCAATTTTCCTGAGGGCACACCTCCAGCAAATTTTAACACATTTCCTATTGCCTTGCTTACAGTATTCCAGGTACCTTTTAATTGCTTATATATTTTCTTAACTCATATTGGCCCAATTCACTTTTCTGTTTAATATAATTTATTTTCTAAAATTATATAAATTCTGTTATATAAAATTGTACTACATTATAAAAAATTTGAAAAGTAAAAATTGCATATTTTCTGCTGCTTTGTTTTTACTCCTTTTCCAATATAACCACATTTATCATAATTACTTATTGTCCTTTTAGATTCTTACAGGAGAGGATTGGAATGATGTTATGTACAAAGGAATCGAATCTCAAGGTGGCATAAAAGAGGGTGGCATGATATATAGCTTGTATTTTATTATTTTAGTGCTTTTTGGTAATTGTATCCTTAAATAATTAGACATTTTTTAATATGTATTTTTGGGAGATTATTTTAGTTTTTTTTTTTTAACTTTTGGAGGAAACTCTTTTTTTTTCTTTCCCCCCCCCCCTTTTTTTTTTTTTTTTTTTTTTTTTTAGTGTGTGAGTGTGTGTGTGTGTGTGTGAATTGTTGTTATACAGTTAGCAATGTTTGCTTTTATGACATTATTATTGCACTTTTTTAGTATAAAATCATTGCGTAGTATATTAAGACAGGTAAATTTTTTAAAAAATTAAAGGGAAATAAGGAATTAGTATGGCATAAAATAATACTGAATATTCAAATTATACAAGATGTTCTAAAAAAAGGTGACTAAAAGTGTCATTTCTGCAAATACTGATCATAAGTATGTGCTTGTAATTATAGTTTCTCTAAATGAGCAGAAAATTTTATGGGAATACTACGCTTTATGAGTAGCTTGATTCTGTGTATATAAAATTTTACCTCTGAAATTTGCAGAGATATTAGAAAAAAAATTTCAAGTTTTCTGTATTTAATATTATGATATTTCAATGAAATTTTTCACTAGTTTTGTCACTAATCGGCAGTGGTTCTATTATAGCTGTAATTGTATTTCTTTGAATTTTGTATATAAATTTATGCACACTTTTGGATTTAGCTTCTTAAATGATAATAAGCATTTTATTAATAAGATTTTTTTTAACTTTATGATGACCATGTGAAAATTAAATTTTGTATGAAAAAAAAAATAAAAAAACCTTTCTATATTGAGAAATGTAAATGTTTCTGTAAAGTTCTGTACTTAAGGAATTCTGCATTGATAAAGAATCTGCAGGATATATTTAAAGAAATAAAGATTCAAATATGCCATTTGGTCTTTATGTCTGTTTCATTCAAGTTTTTGTCTTTTACTTAATCTATTGCTGTTTGTTACTTTCTGTTTTCCATTCACAAGTAATGTACTCTTTTATTTTACTTCATAGATTTCAAAGCACGAATATTTGTTTTAAAATGGCTCAAATTATTTCAAAAATAGAATTTTTTTAAAGTTTACTTGCAGAGATTTTTAAACATTACTCTCGTGAAAATGAACTCCATTTAAAAAATTCTCTTCGACCAGTAACTATACGGTTTTTCTTTTTCTAGCAGTTTTTTTTCTTTATTATTTGTTATAGCTATTTCATGCACCTTGCAATCAGTATTTTTGCTACAATAATTGTTAAGGTTACATTGCATGAAACTTTTTATGTAGTGCACTTACCATACTCATCCATTAATTTTCCATAATCATCAAGGCAATCTTAAATTTATGAAGCTATTTTAATTATGAGCCTAATGTTCATTTGAAAGCAGACGTTGAAATTATTTAAAATTACCTTTCAGAGTCATGCTGATTAGTTATTTTTAATTTTTAATTGCAAATTATAATAATAAGCATTTTAATTCCTAGATACATCTAGTTAATGCTACCATTTTCTAAGGAAATATTTAAAAAATAGTATAATGACCAAAAAATTAACTATTTTTTGAAAGTACAAAATTAATACCTCTCTTATCATGCTATAAAAATTTGATGATATATCAAAATATGATCTTTCATCATTTGTGATATATATGTGTGTGTATGTGTATTTTAAAATGTTACAGTTTATCCTTAATATACATAAAGATACCCTTCTGAATGTGTTCTTAGCCATCGCTGTAGATAACTTAGCAAATGCTCAGGAGCTTACTGCTGCAGAAGCAGAAGAAGCTGAGGAAGACAAAGAAGTAAGTTAATTCATTATTAATTCAAATTCATTTTATGCTAATTTTACAAAAATTATATTTTAATTTTTAAATCATTTCACAAATGATGCAAATCAAATAAATAAGCAATGGCTATAAGTTCACTAGCTTAATCTCATTTTTTCTGAAAAAGCATGTAAATTTTTCAGTTTTCAGATAAATTAAAAAATATATTTTAGTCTTATCAAACTTTTACTGTCATCAGAAAAAAAAATTAGAATTTTCGATCTGCATCAAATACTTTCATTTTAATTTTTTTGTTAAAAACATTGATTTCTGCTAAAACATCACTAAATTCTTTTCAGATTTACCAATTAAATATTTTTAAGGTTATCAAGAAATAATAAAGTGTTTACTTTGTGAGGTATTTCATTTGCATAATATAAAAAATCAAATGTTATTTAAATTATGTGTATCAGAAGTCAATTGTTCTTTTATAAAGCCTAAGTTTGCCTTAAAAATTACTTCTTTATTTTTTATTTTATTTTATTTATTTATTTATTTATTTACTTTGGGGGATAAGGTTTGTATCAAATATTTTCTCACTTAATTCCAACAGCCCACCAGCAGCCAAGAGGTAAAGTCGCTAAACACTGGTAGTTTGGTCCGAGGTTCGAATCCCGCGAACAGGCAGTCTGCATGAGTGTTTTCGTGGTTTTTCCCATGTGTAACGTGTATGTGAGCCAGTTTCTCTTAGAAAGTCCTCCACGAAGGCATTCCTTCTCTTAGGCAGATAGCCCTCGAGGCTTTGCCACAGTTAAATAACCTAACCTAACCTTAATTCTTAATTCCAATGATAATGCCATCTGCTGTAAGCTATATTGATCACTGACATAGAAAAAGCTGTGACACTTGTACTGATCAGCTTATTAAAGTGCTTATAAAGTATGTCACTCCCCTAAAAAAATGTTTGTATAATTTAACAGGTCTTTAGATTTTAACAGGTTTTTAGATTTTAAAAGGTGTCCTTCAAATTTTGTTGCGTTTCATACTTATAGCAGTATGATGTTCTGCTGATGTTTAATTATAAGAAATAAGGTTATCTTAACAGAATCATAAGAAAGATGGTTATTTTCTCATAATGGAGCAGCTGTAAATCTGTCATGAAAAAAATAATAAAAGCTGATTGTTTTGTCAAATAGGAGAAACCATATTAAAAAAGCAGTGCTAACTGCATCTGTAAATTGGGGCGGGGGAAAACTGCAATTTGAAGAGTTTAGTTTACAACTTAATACCTCAAGGAAGGATTTACTGTTAAAAGTTTCAAAAATATCAATAAATAAATAACTAAATTAAAAGTAAAATATTATAACTTTTTTTAAATCAATAGGCTATTGAGTTGTCAAAGTGTTGGGAAACTATCTGCTATTCATTATGGAACTCTACTCCATTATTCCATTAGAATGGTGATCACGATGTTCTTTCATGAAAGCTTGTTGATGCATTGACTACATGGTCTATAGACCAATCTGACTATCACTGCTCTCGAGACAGATACAAGACTTATTGTTGAGGAGAACAATCCTTTATTTTAGCTTCCGTTGTCACTTAGATTATGATAATCTTTGAAAATGGTGACTTGATTAAGCGGAATGCCTGTTGCCAGTCATCTGACTTATTATCTAGTACTGTGCAAGTGCATTCTAATGGTTTATATAAATAGTGCTGCATTTCCTGAACTTCGTATGTGTAGTCAAAGTTTATTTGCAGTGGAGTAAGGATCACTATGCACTATTCCTCTAATCTGACGATGTTCAAGGAGATATTCATCTCTGGACACCTCTGCTATCCAAGTTCATCTTTCTTCTCACTAGTGATTTGCCAGTGTAGTAAACCAATATGTTTGATTTCAATAATTTTTGTCTCTTCCCATTTATGATAGTTGATGATAAGTGGAACACTGATGAGATATTGCCCCATCAAACCATAAATCTTAATCCAATTTATGAATTCTCATGTGATGGGAAAAAATTGCACTTGTTCAGACTTTCATACCCTTTAACCCCTTCCATATGTTGCTGACTGAACTAGCTGCTTAAAAATTTGGGTCATTTGCAAATCTTAATTACTTACAATCCCTCTTCTTTGCATAGCCTTATAGTTTTTTATATTTGTGTGGCAGTTTGGCAATTTCAGTATTAAGCAATAAATATTACAGAACCTTAAGAAAATGGTTAAAAAGATCATAGACTTAAGCTCTGGCATCAATCCATTTTTTTTTTACTTACTTTTGGATTTTAAAAACATATAAGTGAGAAGTGCAATAACTATGCTGCACAATCTATTTTTAAATCACAGCATTTTTAAAATTAAATTTTTAAATCACAGCATTAAATTTTAAAAAATGCTACTAAAAGAAGTGCATCATAATAGGCAAAATAGATAGTTATTATGTAATCATAAAATCATTCCCCTCCCCAACCCCCACACCTTTTTTTTTTTTTTAGTTATTCAGATAAGTTTCTTTACAGCGTGCGAAGGAAGAACTAGACAAAGAACTGAAAGATCTGCAAATGTCAAATGATCCTCCTCAGGTTAATATTTGCCCACCTTCACCTATGAACAATGCAGAAAAATCAAAAAATTTTAACTTGTGAGTAAATTCAATGATTACTTTATTAATAATCTATATACCTTGAGTTTATTTTTAAGCATTATTGCTATCAAAATGACTTTTTTTTTCCTTTTCTGTTTTCACATTAGAGATAAAGAGAATGGTGAGAAAGATAAATCTGAGGGGGAAAGCAAGAAGGAAAATCAGGACTTTGACAATGGTAAATAGTTTTAAAAATGCAAACTATTTTTTAAAATACTATCTCTATATTTTTCAGAATAAACTGTAATTTAGAATACTGTCATATTTTTAAAACTTATACATGTTCTTCAGCTGCAGTATGTGAAGGTACAAAGTGCGTATCTATATAAATTCTTTTGAAATTCAAGGGCCGACTAGTGGCATGACCACCCTCTTACATTCGTTGCTTGATCTGTATTCAGATTCTTGTGAATGGACTGTGTCTGAAAACGCATTAAAAAAAAAGCGCATAAAAAATGCTCTTTTTTTTTTTTTCCTCTCTTTTGCAGCTGAGGATGATGGTTCGGTAAAAACCATCGAAACTAATACTGTGAAAATTTCAAAATATAATGCTGATTTTTGTTGTTTGACTTCTAAATTAATCACTGTAATATTTATATATGTTTGTACATTTTCTTCTTATTTAAGATTGCTTTAGAAACTTGAATATCAAATTTTCTGCATTTAATTAGGATAGTCTGTATATTATTTTTATCAGTGAAAGAATATCTCTTCTTTTTTGTATATTTACACTACTTTTTATTTGCTGTTGTTAGATTTTTTTACTTAGAAAGATTTCTATGAATGTTTTACTACTTTCTTTGGAAAAAATAGCAGAACATTTATGACAAAAAAATATTACAATAAATGTTTCTGACAGTTTTGATAATAAAATACTCAGACTCACTGATAACTTATTATTTTTTTACCATGAATTAATTATATGCATCTTTTTAATTAGATGAAGAGAAAGAAGAAACTAAAGGCCCCAAGCCAATTTTGCCCTATTCTTCCATGTTCATCCTTTCATCCACAAATCCGTAAGCTATTAAAATTACTTGATTCACAAATGTACAGTGTGTAACATAAATGTTTCTTTCTTTTTTTTTTTTTTTTTTTTTTTTTTTTTTTTCATATATGAATATTTTTATGCATGAATAATTATATAAAACTAAATAAAATTTTTATCCTGAGAAGCAGCTGAAGTTAAAAGGCAAGAAAAGAATCAAAGGGAAATTGAATAAGTGATATTTAATGATTATTGTACATTTCAAAAATCACTGCCTGATAATGTTACAGGTTACAACTGCCATCAGTTACATTCTAGATTATTATTTCATACATTTTAATAACACTAGTAGATCGTGACATTCCTCATGGGGGGTTAGGTAACTCACCTTCACAAAGTATTGAACACCCTTTCATAGATCAATGAAAGATTAAATGAGAAAAAAGTAAAAAACTGGATAAAGGTAGCCTATTTAACCACAGGTAGAAATGATAGAAATTCATAAAAAATACCGTGATATTTCACAAAAAAAAATAACGTACTTCTTGGATATTTTTTATTGGCTGGCTTTGGCTGGTTTTGTCGTCTTTGTTTTATTTCTATCTGGGGATATTTTTTATCTGACAGTACTCGTTTTGTGTGTTTTATTCCATATATTAACACTCCACTTTGAATTTTTTTCATTTTTAATTGCAGCTGCTAAAAGTATGTAGTAAATATCAATTAAATTTATGCTTGCTAATAATATCAAAGTAAAAAACTCCTTTCTGACAGTAAGATTTGACAGTAAGCATAAAAGTAAATAAAAATAATTTAATATTATAAAAAACAAGAGGGTCGAAATTATTATTATTATTGCTTTATTCTCTTTGAAATCATAAATGTTAGGATTTGAGTCTAGATATATGAAATCTCTCTTTTGATCAGCACCTTCTTCATTTTTACTTTTAGTAACTAATTATTTCCGGTGTCTTATAATAGAGCAGTATATTTATGTAATAAATCTGAGAAGATTCCTTATTTCCAGATACTTTGCAAATGTAATTAGTGTCTGATATTTTGTTTCTGATAACTCCTGGCCTCAACCACTGCTAGCTTGTTCAGTTTCAATGTGGTTTGCCAACTTATTTAGTTTTGATGGAGAGAAAACCAACACTAATTCTCTTTTTTTTTTTTTTTTTTTAATTAACACTTTACAATTCTTTTATCATACCATGTTTTGTACAAAATTTTCTGTTCTTCTTTTCTTTGCACGACAATCTCTTTTTGTCACTTGTTCAGTTCAGAAACATATATTGTTAATTGGATTTTCTTCATCCTGCTGTTAAGTCTTGCATTCATAGTAGTAGCATTTCAGTATTGCATTCAAATAGTAGTAGCATTTCAGGTGTCCATAATTGGTAGCATACAATAATTCAGTGAGTAACAAACCAATGCTTTTATGGGCTGCAGTTTGAAAGCTAACAAAATTGACAAAAGGTTTCCCCCCCCCATTCTTTGTGAGTCTTCAAACGCAGAACTCGTAGGAGCCATTTGATCATCCTATAAAATGTTTGACTGAATTTGATTGAGGCTGGCTAAGTGAATTATAAATTTCCTTAATCCCAAATCTGTTGACAAATTCTCTAGCAAGTGCACACAGACATTCTGATATCACATTAGATTTTTTTTTTTTAAATTCTATCCATTTAAAAATTTTAATCAGGGCCTCTGTCACTGAAACCAAACTCACATTGCTCACTGGAATTGCGTTAGGGTATTTAAATGACAAGTATATGAGGTTATTACGTAACATTTCAGTATTGAATTAACTGGTGAGGGACCTACTGCATTATTGTTTCAGTTTAGAAAATGTTTCTTGAATCACAGGTACTAGTTTCAGGGGGGGGGGAGAATGAATTCCTTTCATTTGGTTTCCCAGCTCAAAGATAGTTTCACAAGATTGAACATTTTTAATTTCCTTATAACAACCAAGCTAAAAATATATCTTAACAGCCTATTCCTTGACTTTCAAATGAGCAGAAGTTCCCTCATAATTTAATGTTTGGATATTTTCTCGGAGCTTTACTGAACTATTAAAATTTTCTTCTTATTCCCATAATGCTCTGTTTGAAACAAGAAATTATTTTAAATAGGGTAGGTTTGTTTTGGTGATTGATCTCTATTTCTTGAGCTAACAGAATTGTAAATTGTTTTCAATGTTTCGCATCTTTTCTCAAATTCATTAAATTCCCTTCTATCAAGTTGTATTAAAATGACTTCTCCTCTGCTGTTCTCTGCTTGCAATAGCAAATTATCATTTCCACTATAGGGTCAAGGACCAGAGTAAGGGATTCAATTACCTCATCCTCCAGTGAACAACTTCCCTTAAAACTTGATCCAATTGTTTCTGTACAGTTTAACTTGCCATTTGAGCATAACCTTTGTCAATCTTCCTGCCTTCTTGCTATTTGATTTCCAGAATAAATGTTTTGATCTAAATCTTCTGTAGTTATTGTGACATAAGTTTGGATAAGGCTAGTATTATTGATCTCAGGCTGTACACATGCTAATGGCAGGCATTTTTATTCTATACCCAATGGCCTTTTCACCCATATGATTTCTCCCATTAACATTTCCAAGAGAATATTCTTGTCCCTCAATAAATAGTAGCTCACTTCAGTATCCCATTGGGTGTTTTTTTATGCTAATGTCTGAAATGAATGGAGATCATAATGCCTTTTTAGTTTTAGATTGATATACATTGTTTACAGCAGCTAATGATTCATCTTTTATGAAGTTTGTAGAGACATTAAGATTTTTTGAAAACAGGAAAGATGAAAAATGAACAATGCCCTCACTGGGACTCAAACCACTGACCTCTCAAATGCATGTCGAGTATGCCAACCACTACACCACGAAGGCATGCTAAGAAGTGGGAGAAATACCTTAAAGGTTGAGCTTTGTGATCTAAGATGCAGTTCTGAGCCATATTCCAAATGTTTAGGAGCTTTTCATATCTTAAATGCCTTGTTGAAGTTGCTCCAGTGGCATAGTTAGGGTGGGGCAAGGGGGGCATCTGTCCCCTGGCGCAGTATCCAGGCAATGCCAAACTGATGCTATGAAATTTTTTAATGAAATTTTTTCCATTCTTGGCACACAGAAAGGGGTGCAAATCCTTCAGTTGTTCTCAGGCGCTGGAATCCTAGTTGAATTGAGTTGCTCCATGTTTATTCTGTTCGAGCCAAAATTCTTTTCCTTCTCTTCATTCCTCTTTCTTTCTTTAGTAGGAAGATTTAAGCTTTTTTCATTCCTTCTTCAGTCTTGGTACCTCAGGTTGGTGATTTCCTTTAAATTCATTCGACAGTTTCATAGTCATTGAGCATATCTGCCAACTTGGCTGCTAAGGTAACTTTTACTCAGTTATCCAACTGATGTTCCCAGACCTTGTTTCTGACTTGATGCTTCATTTGATCTGCAACCAATAAGTCCTTTATAAAACGTGCATTAACCCTTTCCTGAGCTTAAGCTGAAGAATTGAAACAGAATACTTTTAGCTGCATGGCAATTCATTCCTTCCATTGTTCTTCCCTTTCTAAAAAAGGCAGGTCCCAGGAGATATGTATCTGGGCATAAGAATAAAATTAGAATCACTGGCAGAGCTGAAGCAGGCTGGTAAACACCATCCCCAGCTACTCTTTCAGTAGAATAACGTTTGTCAGTTTTTCAAAATCAGTTATCTCCACACCACTCAACCATTCATTTAAATAATTTCTTAGAACAAAACTTAATTCCCCTCAGATTTCTTCTGGTTATTGTTAGCTCTGAATAAACTTAATTTGGAATTTCTAAGGACTTCATTTAAACCTTTTTAAGATTAAAAACTTTATATAAGTGTTAGTTGCCTGCTTTCTTCTCAGATTCTTTAGGTATAAGCTGCATAGTATCCATAGGCAACAGGGTTACTAAATAGACTTCCTAAAGGGTCTTTCAATACAAGTCCTCTTCACTTACCTTGCATTGATGCAGACTAAATATCCTGTTAACATTGCAAGATGCAGACTAAATATCCCTGTTATCTGGATCAAATTTTTGAATTCAAATGTTGAGGGGAAGATGTAAGAATAAAGCATTAACATGAGCAATGTTTTTAACTGGCATAGATGATTTCATGACAAATGCAAACATGTTGATCATGTGTAGCCTTCACAGTCTCAAAGTAAAGATAGCTGATATGCTTAATGTCAGTGAAAACATTAGTCATATCATGATTTGATCCAATTTGTGGGCATTAATTCTTATTTTTTTTAATAAATTGTGACTTTAGAGGAAACGTGAGGCTTTGTTTATGACCCCGAGATAAAAATGGCAATCACTTACTAGGACTGGAGAGGGTTAACCAGTTATTTAACCATTTAGGAATTTCAGTCTTATGAATCTTGAGTAAAGACTATGTTGTTGACCTTTTTAATTGGAAAGGGATGATTTTGATGGAATTTGTTTTTAAGGATAGATGGTAAACTCCTTATTTTATTAAAATATAATCATCAGACTTCTAAAGAGAATTTAGCACTTTATAGGCCTAACAAAACTTAATCGAATATGGCTGGTTTTTGCTGCATAACAATGTGCCATCACACAATTCCATCCTTGACAAGCGTTTCTAGCAAAGAAAGTATTTCCCAGATTTGGCTCCTGCAAACTGTTTTCTCTTACCTTAAGTCAAATCTCATCTCAGAAGTTGTTTTAATATTAATGAAAATATTTAAAAAACATAACCATAATCCTCACATTATTCTGTCCTTGCCGAGCAGTTAAGCATAACAATTCTCAACTCCTTTATTCACCAGATTTGGCACCTGTTTTCTCTTCCTTAAAGTCAAATCTTATCTTAAAAGTCATTATTTTAATTTCACTGAAGAGAATCAAAAACCAGTCATCTTAAAACAAAAAATCTGATCTGTACACCACATGACTTCCTTGTATGGAATATTAAATTATACGCATTTTTTTCTTGCATTTCATTTAAACTTATTGGATTGAATTAAATCTACTTCGCCGACAGAGCATAAACCACAATAGAATAAATGCATTCTTTAAAATTCACTCTAGTGTTTGTTTACCGGTTCCCAGACAAAAGCCCACTGGATGAAAGCGCACGCGATAAAAGCCCACAAAAAAAAAAAAAAGCCCACTGTGATAATTGCCCACGTGACAAATACCCACAGCGATGAAAGCGCACATTGATAAAAGCCCACATTGATAAAAGCTCACTCTGATAAAAGCGCACATTGATAAAAGCCCACATAATGAAAAGGGAATTGTGGTTTTTTATTACTATAAAATGTATTTGTAGTTTTAATTATAGTAAATGGAGTATTCTGAATTTTAATTATCTCAAAAATACGTCTGTTTGTATATTTTACCACTACTTTATCTGTTTATTTTATTAGGTTGAAAGCAAACTTTCTGCTCTCTGATTAAGTGATTAGCAATAACGTTTCGATGAGAAATCTGAAAATGCATTTTATGATTTATTTACTTACTTAACTTTGGTACGTGTATGTGAAAATGAAAAATATCATTATAAAGCTCCTCACATGCTATTTTTAAGGTAATATGGCTGAGATTAAATATAATTATGCTTCATTTTTAAAACTATTAACTTTTTAATTCATTTTGTCATGAATTTATCATTTCGCCACACTCAGTCTTGTCTCCCATGGTCTTATTGTCTGGTTTCCCACCCTTTTGACGCATGGTCACGTCCTCCTACCCCTAGACTTCAGTTCCTCCTTTACCACCAATTTGCTACCTCCAACTGCCAGGTGCCATCATGGCAAACTATCAGGAACCGGTAAAGTTGCATTTACTCACGATGCACCGGCAATATATGCATGGACTGAATTGCATTGGGGACAAAAGAAAAGGAAAGCAATGGTTTCCCACCTGAATAGCCAGCGGACAGTTAGAAAACTGCATGACAAAAGCCCTTAAGATGAATGCCCACTTAAAAACTGCCCACATTTTCAGGAAATCCAAAATAGCTATGACATTCTGAAAAATGTTACGAATAATAAATATTATGATTAAAAATGAAATTTGAAGTGGGAATGAAATTGATTTATATAAAAGCGAAGTTTCAAAATTTAACTAAACTATTTAAAGCCGTGCTTTTAATTTACTATTAAAACTGTTAATGATAGTGCATACAAATGTTTTCTTAATCATTAATAGAATACGGTGCTTTTATCTTTTTCATTGAGATTAAAGTTCGGCTTTAATTCTCCATATTAAATTCATTATATGCAAAATTTTCTGAATTGTTAAATTATTCATAAATTATTCTCTCTATATGATGAAAATTTGCATACATTTTACACTGCTTATAATTTTGTAGAATTAAAAGAAGCAAGTGTGGACAGTATTCCCTTTCACCTCCCTTTGTCGGACTTATACGAGGGCACTTCCATTTTTCACGTAAATATAAAAACAGCATGTATAGGTTTTTAATTATATTATTTTGATTGACTCTCTGTTCTATATACATACAGGATTTTAATTCAGTCGGAGCCCAAAATTAAATGTGTTCCGCTACTTAAATTTATTGTTCAATTATTTGTTATTAATATAATTTATTTTTTATTTTATCTTTTTTCATGAATCTGCTTTGCGAAGCTGAAGAAAAAAGGGGAAAATATTAATTTTAACGTAGCATATATATCGGTGTGGGTTTTTGTCAATATGGGCTTTTATCAGCGTGCGCTTATATCTATGTGGGCTTTTATCAATGTAGGCTTTTATCTGTGTGGGCTTTTATTAATGTGCGCTTTCATCGGTGTGCGTAGTAGTCGCATGGGCAATTATCTCAGTGGGGTCTTTTTTGTGGGCTTTTGTCGCGTGTGCTATCGTCCAGTGGGCTTTTGTCTGGTCACTTTGTTTACCATAGCGACACTTTGGCGCTAGATTCACTTAACAGTATTATATTTCGTTCATATTATAACTCATAATGCACAAAATTTATATCATTTAAAGAATAGAATTATTTAATCGTTGCCACATGTACTATTCAAATACTATAATAAAGCTAGAATGATGTATAAAAGAAATTAAGCAAAGAAAGGAAAACAGAAACAGTTTTTCACAGACGATTGAGTATTTCTCATTCAATTAATTCAGTTCTCACTTTGCGAGAAGGCAAAAATACATAAAAACTCAAAATATCTATATTAAAAATTACGAAGTAAATCTTAAACACTTATTTCTTCAAAAAAATTCCAGAAAGGATTAAGCATGATTTAATTGGCAATAATAAATGAAGGCATTATCTTTGTTGTTGCAAAGCTAAGTTTCTCTAGATTGGCAGCAAATCCACTAGCCTGCTGTTTCAAATGTAAACAATCAATGGCTGCCATAAAAAAGGCTTGGCAGCACTTAAACAACTTTAAAATTGTTGATAATTCTAAAAATATTGCATACAGATTTACTAAAGGCATAAAAACCTTAACCGGAAGATAAAAACAGCATAATTCAATCATTTTTAAAGCAAAAAATGTACAATTTACAAACATATAAGAGTAAAGAAACTGAAATCACTGAGCTGGGTAACAGAGTGGATATATATATAAATATATTTATATACGTTTGGTGCGGCCGATTGCAACCAAAATACGAGGTGCACATCTACATGTTATAGCAGTCCTATATACAAAATTTCAATGTTCTGAGGCTACTCGTTTTTAAGTTATGCGAGATACGTACGTACGCATGTACGTACATACGTTCGTACAGACGCCACGAAAAATTCTCTTCAGAATTGATTTTAAAGCAGTTTTATAATTTTTTTTGAGGAAACGAGTCTTTTATTCTGTTCTTACGTACAGATATCACGCAAAAACATCGTTAAATTGCATTCGATAGCGGTCAAAATGGATATTTTCGTTGAAATATGCTGCCTGAAACTTTTCGCGATTACAATACTTCCTTTTTACTTCGGACAATGAAGTAAAAAACAATTGACTTCAACAGCATTCAAAAAAGTAACTGGTAATAAATTTCATAAAATGCTAGTCTCTGAAGAAAAAGCAATAGATGATTGTTATGTGTAATTTCCAGATTCTGAGAATTTCAGCTGTAGCATATGTGTATATACAATTAATTAAAAAAAATTTTTTTCTATGTTTTTTTAGAAATCTCGGCAGACTGCAGATTGAGAAATGCTGTTCTTATTCATTATTGTAAATGCCAGTAAATAGCTCATTTTTTGCAATGTTCATTTTATTTTTGCAAAGAAGTAAATAATTGCTAACGGATTTTCAAATCAACTGTAATAATTTTGGGAAAAAAAATTATACATTTTACTCATTAAAATTTTGAAATTGTTCAGAGCTATGTTTCTGATTACATTATTTTGTGTTTTAGGATCCGTGTTTTAGCTCATTATATTGTAAATCTTCGTTACTTTGATTTTTTCATCATGGGCATCATCACCCTCAGTAGTATAGCATTAGCAGCAGAAGATCCAGTTGATGAACTTTCTCCTAGTAATACAATATTGAATTACTTTGATTATGCCTTCACTGGATTTTTTACTATAGAAATGATTTTAAAGGTAAGTATTAGAGATTTAATTTTAAGCTTGTAAAAATGTTTTAAAGCAACTTATAATGCAATTTAACACTGTTTAAAATGTTTGTCAACTTTTAGTTAAATTTGATAAACAAATCTTGTACTCTGTATTGTAGTACAAATTTAAATTTTCCCAAAACTCCCAAATAATGTTGTAAATGTCCTATTTGCTTTAATTTTATCTTAAAATTCCTAAAATTTTCCATTGGTTAATTGTTCTTAAAAAACAATTAACCAATGGAAGACATTTAAAAATTCATTTGCCCATTTTACCATGCTAAGAAGCAAGAAATGCATAAATAACTGAATGTAATACTATAGCTGGTGAACTAACAAACATGTGTACCATCTTGGCTAGCAGCTGATTTTTGGATTATGACACCGAAGTTCTCAGTTTTAGTTGTTTAAAATATGTGTGCTGATTTCAAGCATCAAAATATTTTATTGATTCTTCAATTAAACAATTGTCTACATGAAGAAGAAAGAAAACATTCATTAGTCTCGCTGCAAATACCAAATATCCATTTCTGGGCAAAAGGGCTGCCTTAATTTTAATGTTTAATAAACAAGCTTTCATCCACTTCAGTGGTCATATAGTACTTCTTCTTATTGTTATTATTATTATTATTGTGTGACATTTCTCTAATGATGTTGCACAATTTTTGTGCGTATAATTATTCTAGTCTACTGTGATGCAGTTTGTCATATTAAGCTATTTTTATTGTTTATATTTTTCTCTAGCTAAGTTGGCAACTTTTAGTTTTTCTGCATACTGATAAATGTAAGTGCATGAATCATCAACAAGTGCTGAAATGCATAATTTGCTTATAGCTAAATAGACAAGTGTGGAAGAATATTATTTTACTTTAAAAGTAATGAATATGACCTCCTGGATTTGCCAGATGGTAGAATCCTGCAGATTAAATTAAATAAAATGATTATCATTTCTCTTCTTTGAATGCAAAAAGTAAAGATACATTTAATAGAGACAAAATGATAGCACAATAAAAATGGGTTGTGAGTAATTAACTCAACAGAGGAGGAATGAATGATAAAAGTTTTTCTTGGGGATGCTAATTTATGACTCACAGCAGCAAATTTTGATCTATAATCTATAAAATTTTTACCATCATCTTAAAGTAGATGTATTTCTAAGCATACCTGCAAAAAACTAAAATTTTTTATTCAAAATTTCTGAAGGTATACATGAATTTCTATATTGGCGCGTTTTAAAATTTGGCATATTTGTTGAAAGCGATAATAACACCAAATGTGGTTTAGGCACTTTGTTAAAATTAGTATTTGAAAGGAGAACAATGTGGCTTTTTTTTTTTCGCTCATGCACAGTGTTAAAAAGGTAAGAAAGATGTGACTTTTTTTCCTGTCTTTCACAATGGAAAGGAAAATGGGTTACCGTCTATTCAGAAGTTCGGCAAGTGAATTATTCTTGGTGCCAGTGGCGTAGCGAGCATTGAGCAAACTTCCTACCTCCATGGTAGCGAGGGGAGCAAGGGCTCCATGAAGCCCCGGGCGCCGCTCGCAGAGGGGCGCCAAATGGTCTCCAAACAAGATTTTCATCATATCATTGTGTTTTTTCGGGGGGACGCCAAAAAGGTATTTTCCCCGGGCTCCAGTTATGGTCGCTACTCCACTGCTTGGCGCAAACTGAAAAAAAGGTGCCAAGATAAATTTGTGAATTTCCCCGTAAATTTCGCACTAAATTTTACAAAATTTAATGTTTAGGCATAATTTGAATTGTAGAATCAAAATATGAAAGAAAAAGGTATGTTATATCAGAAAAGTCCCATTTTGTGTCAAAATACCTATTTTAGAACAATGCTATAGTCGCGTTTTCAAGACATGAAAAACGCAATTTGAATTTCGTCAATCGGCCCAGTAGAACGAGAGATACAGAAAACTGTCTTACCCCCCTTGCAGTGTACATAAGTAGTCTGTTTCTAGCAACACAAAACCTCATGTGACTTAAATATCTTATATGTATTCTTGTGCATCATTTTGATCTAAATTAAAATTTACTTTTACAGTATATATTCTATATATTACTTCAGTTTCTTCATTTGCTTCAACTTTCAGTTTTATTATGTGTATGTATATAGAAAGAGAGAGAAAATATTAATAAAACTATTATAATAGTTGTCTTCATAAACAAAAGAAGGAAGCTAAATATTTATTTCTATGAAATGTAGAATAAAATATAATTAATATAAAATAGTATATAAATTACAAATAATGTGAGTAAAAGTATATAAATTACAAAGTAATATGAGTAAAGTAATAAAATATAATAATATCTTCTTGAAACTCCGGTATTGCTAGATGAAAAATTAATTTCAAACGTAGGAGTTTAAAGCAAAGTTTAACTAAAAGTAAAACAGATGTTTATATGTAATGAAATACTGTATATTTTTAAATATTAGCTGATATGTGTGTAAGCTAAATGTGCATTTTTACTTAAAAAATTTATTCAAATTTCAGCATCCCTATATAAGCCAAAATTAAAAAATATGTATTCTGACATTTGATTATGTTGCGATGAGTGCAAAAAATTATCCAACCAAATCCCAGTAACGTAAAACGCCAAATGCCAGTGACAATAGTTTTAATTTTAGTTATCCTATCTGAAGCTAGCACATTTTCCTCATTCATTTTCCACATTGCAATGTATACTATCTTAAGTGTGATCATGTTTTCTGAAAATTCGGTACTTACGTATTAGCCCATCGACGATTGGTAGAAACTTCGACTATGGTCACCAATCATTACTATGGAATTCTTAAGGCCACTATCATTTATAATTGGCACTAAATCATGCTACTTGACTGGCTGATGGGATAATACATAAGTACCAAAAATTTCACTGATTTATTATTATGACTGGCTGCATGGCTTTTCTCTTAACTAGAAAGCAAGTTCGAGAGTGGAGTTACAAATGTCTTTAATTAGCAAAGATGCCAAAATTCAAAAAGACAAAGCGTTATCATTTTCCATTAGCCCGGCATAAATTTCACCAATATCAGATTTTTCGTTTTGACCACTACACAACAAACCAGCGTATAAAACATTTTGAAAATAAGCAATACATTTTCATAAAACGAATAACTCATTCAATTTTAATTTTTTTTCATAAACTTAAGAAATATAAACTAAAGAAATAAAAAAGTGCTATATTTGGGTGATTTATTCCTTGTGCCTGGCTAATGGAAAAGTACCTAATTTTTTTGTAAGATAAAGCAGATCCATATATAAACTGACCCTCCTAATTTAGCTTTAGAAAAGTTCCAAAAATTCTCAGCTTATACACAGAAATATATGATACTTATAAAAACATGAATTATAATTTTTCTCTTTGAAAAGTCAACACATCATAAAAAGTCAACAACTTTCATGTCGCCTTTTTTTTTAATTGTGAATGTGGTTAGTAGGTATGAAAATTTTTAAAAAATTTATGATTTTAAACTACATCTAATGCATAATCCTTCCTTGTGTGAAGTTTGTGTATACTTACATTTATTCATTGTACAATTTGGTAGACTGACTGGAATTTGGTTGTTTTTTTATCATGTATTGCTCTTTCAAGAAGCTGTGTATGTTAAGCAAACTCAAGTGAATTTTTTATATGTATTTCTCATATATTTACTTTTATGTGCGATATACAGAAGGTGTTCACACATTTTTACGTAAAGGAAGTATTGTAATCACAAAAAATTCCATGTACCATATTTCAATGAAAATATCCATTTTGACCGCTATTAAAGGCAATTTAACAATGATTTTGCGTGACATCTGTACGTAAGACAGACAGAATAAAGGATTCTTTTCCCCCAAACAAATTATAAAACTGATTTAAAATGGATTAAGAGGAGATTTTTTCATGGCTTTTGTACGTACATACATATATATCTCGCATAACTCAAAAATTAATAGCTCAGAACGTTGAAATTTTGTATATGGAACTGCTATAACATGCAGATGTGTGCCTCCTTTTTTGATTGCAATCGGCCGCACCAAAAGCATATATATATGTGTATATATACTCTGTTACTCAGCTCAGTGAGCTCAGTTTCTTTAGTCTCATATATTTGTAAATTGTGCATTTTTTTGCTTTAAAAATGATTGAATTATGTTGTTCTTATCTTCCGGTTAAGATTTTTATGCCTTCAATTAACATGCATGTTATAGTTGTAGAATTATCAACAATTAAAAGTTGTTTAAGTACGGCTAAGCCTAATTTTTTTTATCATATCAGCCATATTTGTTAACATTCGAAACTTAGCAGAACAGTGGATTTTTTGATAATCTAGAGAAACTAAGCTTCGCAACAAGAAATTCACATCTTCTTTTATTATTGCAAAATAAATTATGCTTAATCCACTCTGGAATTATCATTTAAGTTATTAAATTATCTCATATGTTGACTCAGTATAGCAAAAATTAAGTCAATTTCTATGCCTTCAGTGTCTGCCAAGTGAGACCAAAAGTAAACTTTCAATTTAATGCCCCCAAAAAATCTGCTTTTTTGCCCACTGGCCAAATTGCTTCTTTTTGCGTAGAAACTGTATTTTTAATTGTAAAAAAATTTTTTTAATTGTTTTAACTGTGTTTAGTGTTTTATGTTTCTCTATATCTTTCAATTTTTAATACAGATATTTTGAGTTTTTATGTATTTTTGTCTTGTCGCGAAGTGAGAACTGAGTTAATTGAATGAGAAATATATCTCTAATGAAATTCCACGGAATAAGTTTAAATGAAATACAGGAAAAAATGTGTATATTTTAATATTCCGTACAAGGAAGTCATGTGGCGTATGCATCAGATTTTTGTCACGATTTTGCAAAGATTTATATAAAAACAAACCTTAACAATACAGAACAACAATAGACAATAACGAAAACAATTTTATTTTCTAATATGTTCAGTCTGATAGCCCTTGTTTTTAAGTATCATGTTACATCTTGATTTCCAAGATATCCTTTTCTTAAAACATCAAGGCTGATTTTATTAAACTTATAAAGAGCTTGTTTTGAAAGTCCAGATGCACAGTAATCCATAGTAAACACATCAGGAGGCTTGGATCTCACATCAGGAGACTTGGTGGGATGCATTTAAAGGAAGTTGCTTCAATGCTGGTTTCATTTCTCATTTTTTCAAAAAATAGAGCAGTAGATTTAGAGGTATGGCTTGGAGCCTTATTCTGATGGAACTTAAAATAGTGAAGCTTATTTGGATAAAGAGATGGAATTTCTTCTTTAAAAATAGGTGTTGAAACATATTTCTAATAGTGATCAGAATTAGTTTTGGCTTTTTTTTTTTTTTTTTTTTTTTTTTTTTTTTACTTTATGCTTACAGTTTTCCTTTATGAGAAAGTCCAGTAATAACCATAAAACCTTTAGAAAAGGTTTCTTGTTTTTATCTGAACCATCATATTAATTCTTTTCTCCTCTTTTTTGGTAGTGAAACCGATCTTTTTTTATTGCAATCAGGTAAGTATATCCAAGCCTCATCAATTGTGAAGCTATATTTTCATTTTTCACCTGCCACATAATTTTCATACAGCAATCTGCACATAGTCTTACTCTGAAAAATATGTTTTGAGTTAGGCGATGAACATCATGTTTTTTTGTTTGTTTGTTTGTTTGTTTGTTTATCTTGTTTTGTTTTGATTAGTTTTAAAACAGGTTTTATTATTTCGCTTACAGTTCCTACCGAGATACTTAAAGGTTTTGCAACAGCTCTTTGGGGTGGGGTGGCTTGGATTTTCCTTTAAAAGATGAGAGGCGACTTTAGATTTAATAAGAGCTGTACTTGCTTTTGTTGGGTATGCATTTTTTGCCTTTTCCCAGTCACAGGAGCGTAGCTAGAGGGGGGGGACATCTGTCCCCGGGCTCAGCATCCAGAGGGCGCCAAATTCATGTTGTGAATTTTTAAAATGGAATGATTTACCTTTATAAACAGGAGAGTGCACGAAATTTTCAAATGTCCCCAGGCGCTAAACACCCCAGCTACAGCTCTGCCCAGTCACATGTAAACTTTGACGTTTCTTCCCTTTCATATTAATTATGGCACTTATTTTACGTGTAGAAATATTAAAACCATGCTTTTCACATCTTTTTTTAGTGATTGAATAAGAGTATTTCTGTTCTGACTTTAGTGATATTTTAAGGAAAAGAATATTTTTAAAGCAGCAGATGATAATTAAACCTTATTCCAATTTGATGCCACTCACGTTTTTATTTTAAATAGTATTTAAATTCATGGAGAAAATCAAATTTGTTACAAAAATGTGTAAACACGTTCTGTATTATGCTTAGTATTATTGTTATTTTCATTATAATTATTATAATTACTGTACAAAGTCCGTAATCCGGACGTCCATTATCCGGAATGATCTATAATCCGGACCTCAAAGCCACAAACTTTTTATTTTTTGGTATGCTTTACGCATGCGCACGCGCATTGAGAGGATGTGACTCCAGATACGTTTACATTAAAAAATGCTTGGCGTAATTTATGACCAGCTGCCATATTTCATTTTGATGATGATGAATATGATAGCCGCGAATTTGAAATGTTCCAGTTATTGGATTTTGTAAAGAAATGTGGAGAAGCGATAATAAATGAAGATGATATAACAGAAGTGTTTCATTGCAACAGCAATGCCCCAATCATCAATCAATTAACGGACAGCGAAATCTGTAGTATGGTTCTAGATCCAGAAAATACCGCTTCTGATAGGTGGAACTTTGTAACTGAACCAGAAATTATGTCTGTTTATAGAATTAAAGAGAAAGTATTAGAACAAAAAGTAAAGCAACTTAAACAACTTACATTGAAAGAAATGGTTGATAAAGTAAACAAATAAATATTAAGCTTTTTTTTGTAAATTTTGATACCCTTTAGATCATAATTGCTCTTTATTTCATAAATTATGGTTTCATATTTTTAATTGTATAATTTCTGCATGCCATCTTACCAGATTTAAATTGATGATTTATAATCCGGAAAAACTCCTAATCTGGAATCGCCGAAGTCTCGACGAGATGGATTACGGACTTTGTACTGTATCATCATCATCATTTGTTATATTTCTTATGTTTATTTGTTCTTCAGCATTGATTTCTTGTCAAACAATATTGGATTCTCATGGAGCATATATATATACTAATTAATAACATTATTATATATGTATATATACAAAAATGAAGACTTGCACTATAAGCTAATTATTGTAAAATTTCAAAGAAGTAAAAAATGTAGTTGTTATTGTTTCATGAGAATTTTGTGCTGCTGGAAACATACATATATAGACATAGCAACTCTGATAAGCTTTTCAGAAACTCAAAATTATCATAAACCTTAAACTACCCTATGCATATTCTTTTATATTTTTTAGCTGTATTAAAGTTTATTCTTATATTGTTGCTTTTAAGTACATATATTTTTCTTTAATTTACTCATTCACTATTAAACAGATGCCCTTAAATATATTTGAAATACTGTTAGTAAACAAGAACAGCTAAAGTAAGAGTTTAATGGTAGTTTTACAAAAGCACAGTATTCCATATGGCGGTCTAATCCTGTAATGTTTGAAGTAATTCATGATTTTTCAGTAAATGTTGTCATTTTGATTCACTGTTACATGAATCTTTGATTTTATATTAAAATATGCATAAAAATTTAGAAATGGTATTTGTGAGCATGAAAACAGCATTCTTCATTGTTTTACTTTCCTTTACTGCTGTTATCAAACAGGGGTATTTTTTTTAACAGAGCAGCATAAATTGTTCATTAAAAAATATCACATTTGTTTTTCTTGCAGATTGTGGATCAAGGTGTCATTCTTCACCCGGGTTCCTATTGTCGGGATCTGTGGAACATCCTTGATGCGATAGTTGTCATATGTGCTATAGTAGCCTTTGTCTTTGAGTAAGTAGAAAAAAATCTGATTTGCTAGCTTTCTTATTCACCATGTAAAATAAGATGATTATTAATAGCACTCTTTATTCAGGCTAACTAAAGGTTAACATTTTTCGTTTCTCAAATTCAGTTATTTAGATTTGAAATATATTTCAAATTTACTTGTTTATATAAATTGCTGGTTAGTTTCGTACTGTCATTTTGCTAAATGTTCTTACTTTTTGCAATTAAAGAGATAACTAATATGCATTATGTGCTTTTAACAGTGGCACAAGTACTGGTCAGAATCTTAGCACCATTAAATCCCTGAGAGTTCTTAGAGTTCTTAGGCCGCTCAAGACCATCAAGAGAGTACCTAAACTAAAGGTTCTTATTCCTTATGATTACATATGCACACATTTTATTCTTCTGTTTTAGAAACTTATTGAACATTAATTTTTTCATTATTGATATTCCTTTACAAAAGAACATTTTTTTTTTTTTTTTTTTTTTAAATGCATACACAGTTTTAAAAAAAATATATTATAACAGAACACATCATGACATCAATGTCATGATAAGTTCTCATATAAAATAATGTTATCATAATGTCATGCATACACAAATTTTTAAAATGTTTTAGTATAAACGTTTATTTGTTTTAAAATGTTTTAGTAAGTAATGTTTTAGTAGAAATGGAATAATAGATTTCCTCCTTTCTCTCATCATAAAATTTCTTTATAAGACTGGAAAATAAAAAAATTCTTGTAATTTTATTGCTTCATTTCATATTTTGTTATTGCAAAGTATATTAAATATTTTAAATGGAATAAGCTTTGCTAGAAACTTCCAAATGTAGAATTTCTCATCCCCAATTATTTGAAAATAAAATTTTGCTGTGCTAGATTTATTCAAAATTAGGTTTTAGTGCACATACTAGATTACGAGTGTAATCCAGTCATTTTTGTTTGAATATATATTGTTACGTAATGAATCCACAAACCTTCCATCTTCACTATATTTTCATCCTGTTATCTACTTAACTACCTGTACAATTATGATTACATACTAACTTCTAGAACCCTCTCATACTGTTACCCTAATATATGTATAACCAACACACAATAGTTTGATTGGACACTTCAGCTTATATACATTATCTGCATAGCTTATATAAAATAGCTGCCTTTTATATGAACAAGTGTAATTTAAAATTACATACTTTTATTCCAATCTATGTAAATCATAACTCATCTAATAATTTTTTGCCATCCATAGTATTTTAATGATGATGTAAAGTATTTTGTATTTCAATTTTATTTATTTACAAGTGGAATTTAATTGATTTTAATTTTGCATTTGTATAATTGGTTGTAATACATTTTACATAAACTGGAAAAAAAAAAGGTGCTGAAATATCTGAATTTTGCATCAAATTGAGGAGAGCCACAGCAGTATCTGTATATCAGGATATGTATTAAGCATTGCCAGTTTTACATAAAAACAAGGAAAATAAGTGCTAGGTTTTTTACAAAAGTTGAGTTATAGGGCATTTGTACATATTTTATGCTGAAAGAGGAAAAAAGGTAACGTATATTATATTATATATGATATATATATGATATTGTTCTTCTAACCATTATATGAAATGTATAACCATTATATGAAATGTATAAAAAAATATGAAATTGGAAGTAAACATTTTTGAAAATGTAATAAGAGAAAGCACTTTTAAAAGCTACTGTAACTGAATTTAAATAATTAGCATGAATAATATGTCATTGTGTGACAAAATTCTTTCTAGTTCCCTTTTCATTTATATTACAAAAAGGTACCTGAGAATTTTGTGGAACTGAGAATGGATTATACTGAGGTGTGTGAAATTTCAAGATAACTTTAATTGCAGTCTCTGTATCATTTATATTAGTTCCTGTGAGTGTAAATCTGGCTTTTTTTCCCTTAGTGTATATGGCATAGGTGTTGCCTATGGAAATTAGGAAGCAGAAAAAGAATTTATTGAGCAAAATAAAGTTCACCCTGCTAATTTTTTATTTTTCATCTCGGAGATTATAGCTGTATTTTTATGCTATATAACAAAGATCTGGAAGAAAATTTCTTGTTATTGTTGTATTATGTGTTGAAAGTTAAGAATATTGTTGTAACAAAAAAGAAGTCATTTATTGCCTGTTGTTATCTTTTTTAGTTCTTACTGTAGTTTTTGACCTCGGATAACTCATATTATTTTCTGTTGCTACTTATCTTTCTGATCTGAGTGCCCACCAGCGGCCGAGCGGTAAAATCACTGAACACTGATAGTTTAATCCGAGGTTCGAATCCCGCAAACGGGCTGGCTGCATGGGCATTTTCGTGGTTTTCCCCATGTGTAATGTGCATATGAGCCAGTTTCCCTTAGAAAGTCCTCCACGGAGGCATCCCTCCCCTTAGGCAGATAGCCCTAGTGTGCTTTGCCATAACTAAGTAAACCAAACCAAACTTTCTGGTCTGAACCTCAGCCAGGCCCACAGTTTTTTATTACAGCCAACAGGCAAGCAATAGCACTAAATACTGGCTAAATCCTTTGGCATGTTATAAATAAGCTAATAAAACCAGTTTGTCCATTTCTACCTGAGATTTCATAGAGAACATCTTGGTAAATGAATCTGAAGATCTTTTAGCTCCTTTTTCCTACAGCCAACCTCTTGAGAGGATTTTCAATTCAGCAGTTTTGAGTGTTCCCATGCTATAAAGACACTATAAATTTACAAACATCCATAGCTTCTCCAGAACTCGAATCAAATCCAAGGTTATGGCGGCCAGCTCTCCTATCATCAAACCAGCAAAGCAGCCCATAAATACACATAGTTGTTTTTTGCAAAATTTATTAATTGTCTTTAAATAAATTAATGCATTTCATTATCAAATTTTATATGGTCTAAATTCATTTTTTGGTATTACTTAGCATCTTATTTTCATCATACATTCCTTGTACTGAGTGTAATTAAAATTATATAGTTATGTTTTTTTTTTTTTAAATTTATAAAATTCTGTTTATTTGTCATTTGATGTTACATAGTTTAACATAAAAAAGTAGGTAACGCCACTTTTAAATTTATTTTTCTTAGAATAAGAACTGTGTATTATCAATGAAAAAATTTGCTTTCTTTGTGTGTGTTCAGCAATTTCAAGATTATGTTCATCAAGGAACTCATATAGTTACACAACTAAAATATTTGTGCGCTCTACTGATTTTTATTGAAATGTTCCCTATAAAATTATATCAGTAGTTCATTTGCATACTTGTATCAATTCATTAGGCAGAATTTTTAAAATGTGTTATACAAATGGAATGTGTATTTATGTTTTTGTTTTTACTTTATTTTAATATCATTGATCAATAAATATAATGTTATTCATGTATCTAAAACTGAATTTAGTTCCCATATGTTTATACCTATATTTGTTACTTAAATGTTTAACTTATTTTTTAGGCTGTGTTTGATTGTGTTGTAACGTCCCTGAAAAATGTTTTCAACATCCTCATCGTTTATATTTTATTTCAATTCATCTTTGCTGTGATAGCTGTTCAGCTCTTTAATGGGAAATTTTTTTTCTGCAATGATCAGTCAAAGCTCACAGAAATAACATGCCAGTGAGACTTTATTAATTTTTATTTCTTTAACTTAATGCCTTAGATGTTTAGATATTATCACTCAATAAGAATGCTGTCTGTATTTTTGTAATGTCTTTAGGTATTTTAAGATCACAATTAGATTGCATTTTATAAATATTCTTGGAAGGTCTGGCTCCAGCATTGCCATAGGTGATCATTGTTATTATCATCCTATGGAAATTAAACGTGTTAGTATTTGAAATCAAAAGAGTATTTGAAATCTTTTTTTTAATTCATTAAATATACAATGCTCTTAACATGTTAAACTTAATATAAGTAAATGCTGTATATTTTTCAAACGGTGAAATCTTCATACTCTATTTTTTTTATCAGTACCATTTTCAGATGACAGAAATGAAAGGAATTCAGCTTGTTTTGACTTGAACATGACTTCAAATAAGTTTTCATCAGTTAAAGCTCAGGAAAATTCATTTCCATTGTAACTTATAGGAATTGCTGAAAAATTGGTAGAGTAAACCATACTTTAAGCTAAGTATTATCTTGTGAAGAAAAGTATGAATGTGGGAAACAACTTCTTTTCATGTTTTGTGCTTCCCCAGAAATGAAATCCTGTTGTAAGTCTTGGCAATTCTGTGATCATCTCTTAAAAATATTAATATCCAATTAATAGCTATTTATTGAATCCTCAGCTGTTGTTAGTATTAAAGCGCATTGCACGTTTTTCAGTTTTCTGTTAATGCACTCTTGTTTAATTTTTCAGTATCATGAAGAAAATGTATTATTATCATGTAACTATTATATTCTCATCATACTGAACTGAGACTAAATCACTGAGTCAATGAAGAAAGTGTAATGAGTACTGAGTGTACTGAGTCAATGAATCTGTAAGACAAATGAAGGAATATCTTTCATCTATTGGAGCTTTGTCAGGATGTATATGACCGAATGTTCATTTCTTTTTTTTTTAATTCTAATGGTTTTGAATAAAAGTTACAATAAAAAAATAAAAAGGCTGAAATAACTGTGAGAGAATGGATGCAATATAAAACAAAATGCAGATACGGTTTCTTGAATGAAAAATAATGATTTGATTTTTTAAATAAAAAAAAAAAAGCTATCTCTTGCAATGGAAATAACAAGCCCAGCCAGTAAGGAAACTTAGACTGCTAAGATTCTAATGATAAAATATAAAGAGTGAAAAGTATTAATAAGAAAAAATATGCAAGAGCTGAATCATCATACTTCTTTTGCCATTCAAATTTTTAAAATTGAGAATTTTGTATTTAGTATCCACCAGCATTAAAACCTGAAGTAATCTCTTCCATTTCTAATTTGCTGTGATATAAAAGAATTCTAGAAAAATAAAAATTTTGATTTGTTAATCAAGTACTTTTGACAAATTACGTTGAGAAAATTTTGCTTTGCTTAGAAAATTTCAATGATGAGTGAAAGTTGATTGTTACTGTTATTATATGAAGGACTTCGAAGAATTTTTCTAGCATTCATCTGATGCGCTTCTACCTCTTTAACAGTTACCTATCTCTTCAATCCATCATCTCCAAATGTTATGCACAGTTAGTGAATGTTGCTGCATTTCAGCTGTAATACTATGATATGATGAGCCAGCAACATATAGGCCTTAAAGAACCCCTTATTAACCCTTCAATTTGATGAAAATTGCTTTAATGGCATCTCCCAAGTATCTCTTCATTTTGATGTTATTTCTGAAAAGGAAAAAAAAAAAAATTCAATTTCTTTTGACAAGAGAAAACAGGAAATGAGTAAATAAGTATTTTGACAGGAGTAAATGAGTATACTTATTTAACTTTTCTTCCTTTTATCTCGTTTACAAATCACATGACCAGTTTGAGTTTTGGGCAAGATTTTCATCATTTTGCTTTTTTTTGTGTCAAGTAGTTTATTTAAAGTCATGATTCCTTTATATATGCTTAGGATATATGCTTAGGATACATCTAGTTTTTAATTATCACTGAGGGAACAATAACAATAGGACTAAATATTTTGATAGGTAATGCAAATTTGCAAGCTTAAATATGAAAAAAATGAGTAGAATAAAAATTTTTTCATACACAGACATGCTTTGTATATTCTACAATTTGAAAGCAAAGCAACTTAGGTAGCTGGAAGTTAATTTCATTGTTTCATTCTGTTGATTTCACTTAACTGCTCATTTAGAAGGTCTTTCATTGTACATAACAGTTTGAACTAGCCAAAACTGGCATTGTCTTTATAAATTTGAAAATTCTTTCTTAATAAGGGAAAAAAACATCCATTTAAATAAAATCCATTTACTCATTTCTTATATGTTACAAAACTGGATTTATATCTTGCTAAGAGAGAAAAATAAGCAATAGTGCATGAAATATTTCTGTTATATAAATTTTTGTTTCTAAAAATGTTTTGTACATAATTTGCATGTACTTAGAATTATCTTTATTCAACTAAAATATATGCATATCTTTATAGAATTCATAAATTAGTATGAAATGTTGATATCATCTGTTTATTAATTTTATCATTGTGAAGATAAAAATTTGATGTTAGTACATGTGAATATGTAGTATACTTTGAGTCAATGCATTGCAATTTCCAAATTTTAAATTTTGAATTCTTATTACATACATTACTTATTATGGCAATAAAGCAGACTATTTGAATATTCTATTTTGCATGAAAAGTTATTTTATGTTTCAGAGGGGAATATTTCAAGTTCAGTGGGAGTGACAAACCCCCTAATGTTGAAGTTAGAGAATGGAAGAGAAGAGATTTCCATTATGACAATGTAGCAGCTGCTATGTTGACATTATTTACAGTTCAAACAGGAGAAGGCTGGCCTTCGTAAGTAATTTTTTTTAAAAATAATTATAGTAACTTAGTAGAATACATGTACTATTTATAATAAAATGAAGGAAGTCGAAAAAAATTGTTAATTGAGTAATATAAAATAAAGAGATTAATTTGGGGGGAAGGGAGAAATGTGTGTGTTAAATGTAAAAAATCCTTAAATGATGGATGCGCCTAAATAAACTCAAGGAATTATTTATATTTATCATACAAAGAACAAAAAATTTGTTACCTAACTTTAGAAAAGGACTTTTTTCAGTTAAATTTATATATTTATGTCATAACTTTTGTTAAAGTTTTAATGTCTTTACTATATATTAATTACAGCCAATTAAAATAACCATGAATTTTTTTATGTGTCTTTGTCGTCTATTTTAATTTAAATTTTTGTTTTCATAATAGTAGCTAGAGTGGCTGGTTCAACTTTTATTTTGTTAATATGTATTTTATTTTATGCCCATAAAAATTACATCTTCTTCTTGCAGCCCTCATACCCTTATTATCTTTCATTTGGAGTGCTAATAAATCATATCCAATAAGTTCTGGATATCAAACTAAGGCTGGTTAATTCACTGGAATTTCTGCCTCAATTATTGTTATTTAGCAATACAAATTATTGTTATTTAGCTCATTCATATAATAAAATCCTTATTAGTTACATTTAATCTGTAGTTATGCATTTAGTTATCAATATAGAATAAAAAAAATTGAAAATAATTCCCTACCATAAGCAGACATTTCATGTTGATGAATGTACAGTATTAGGATATGAAAATTAGGCAAAGAGGACTTCTCCCTTCCACTGTGCAAGAGAGAGGATGAATTGTTTACTGCTGCAAGAAGTATTCATTATTTACTGATGAATTTACTGCAATATATCATTATTTCTAAAGATGCAAGAAATAATTTTTCTGCTTCATTATATTATATGTAATCCTTTCAAAGATCCATATATATATTCTGAATAAGTATATTTTATAAAAATTTGAAACATAGCTAAAAATAAAACTAAGGTGCTTTTAAAGACATTATTCTACAGATAATTAGCCATTGAACTTTCTCTGGCAAAAAACATTAAAAATGATAGACTTTGCTGTTCTTTTATAGGCACATGCATAGAAGAAGAAGATAAAAATGTAAAAAGTATTTTTTTAATGTTTAATCTGATAGCCTTTTTTATTTTATTTTATTTATTTTTTTTTATTGATTTTCATGCTTTTTCCACTACTCTCCAGATTGCACCCATCGTGGTGGGTTTACACTTAGAAAGAGGTTTTAAGATGTCATGGGCAGGATAGGTGAAACATTCAGGGACTTCACAGGAATAAGTTGAAAAGATATATAACAAATACCTCTATCAGTTTTCATTTAGTCAAGGAATACAGTTTTACTTTGCAAATTTTGACTTATTGTTCTGAATTGATGAAGGTTCACTCTTTGAAAGTCATAGGAATAAAGAAATGGATTTTTTGCCATAAATCTCGGATGTAAAACTTTCTCTTCATAGTATGCTGAGTTGTTTTAATATTTTTTGCACTCTTCTAATTTTTAATTTTCCATTATAAGAGAATCCTGCGACATCATAAACACTTTTATTTGCATTGACACAACCAGGTTCGTACATTTTTTTTCTCTTTGTTTTTGATGTGAAATAGGTCCTTTTTTACTTGTTGTTGTAGCAGTCATTTAGCTTTCCATGCTTCAGCAAGCGTTACAATGTATTTCCATTTATCTACTGCTAAATAGTTTTCGTACAGTATTCCACATATTTACTCTGTGTTGAGCGTCATGTCTCAGCTAAAGCTGGGGAACATTATGTTTTTTAGTTTTTAAGTCGAAAATCTTGGTTTATTATTATTTTTTAAATTGTTACTGTAGACTCCGCATTGCCGGATTTTCTCTTGTTATCAATGATTCTTTCCACGTAGAAGTAATGACTGACAGTTTTCCCTTTCCAATAATGTTGCTTATTTTACGCTTAGATATTTAATACCATGTATTTCACATTTTTGAATAATGGCATAGGAATATTTTTCTTTGAAAGCACAAAAACATATTGTTCAGCCCACAGCTCACAACATTTTGAACACTTTGAAAAAAAGATCAGTTTAAAAGTAGCAGATGATATTTGTCATTTCAAATAATAAGCTGTTGCCAGAAATTTTTATTCCCAAACATTTGCCTTTTTAAAAAAATTACTTATGGAAATCATTTTTAAAATGTTTAAACGCCCTCTTTATATAATACAAAACAAAACAGCAAATGAAAATATATGTAAATCTTTATAAAAATGCAATAATCGGAGTAAGAAAATATTATATCGATGAATAAATTGTGAAAAACTCCTTGAAAAACAAAAATTGCTACTAAAAATTACTAATTTCGGTCATCTGCTCATACCAAAAACAGCTAAAATTACATAAAATTGGTAAATCTAACTAAGAAAAGAAAAAGTAAGCAGAGTTTTCCATCATCATTTTCTGTTGTTCGGAATGGTATAAATTGCAGGTCGAAGTTTGTATAAATACCATAGAAAAGAAGTTGAGATTTTTTTAGTTTGTTTCAATAAAAATATAGGTAGTAAAAGGACTGTTCTTTTAAAAGAATGTGTGTTAAAAAATGTGAAAACACTAATACTAAAAGTGTTTTGTGAAATTATAATACTCTTTTGCAAAAAAATTGAAGCACCAAGAAAGACTTTTGCAATCGTGACGAAATTTAGTATGCAAAAACACTTTAATCGAATATGCAAATGATCAAAGTTTCAAGGCAAATGAGCAGGAGTTGTGATCGTAGCGCGCATTTTTAGTGCGCAATTCGCAAAATATAAAACCAGTAACAGAGGCGGAAAATTTATCTTTTTTTGTTGCTGCCATTGTAATTCCATAAAGAAGCAACTAAAGATGCCATTACAACGACATCAAAGACCTTACAGATAACTAAACGACTTTGAACGTGGTTGTATTGTAGGGTTGTGTGAAGCTGGGAGGTCATACCGAGCAATACATTTTCTCATTTTAACGAAAGCGTTACTTGTTGTCATGGTCGTCAAGCAGACTCCTAAAAGCAATGCAGTTCCACCAGATAAAGTCACGGATCCGGAGTCACTCTCGGACACCTCGAATACGACGGCTACGGATATGGACCGCGGTCAACATGCACTTACAGATGCAGAAATTGCTACTCTCAGAAATGAAATTGAGTGGTTGGAACCTACGATAAGCGCGTACGTAGCGTCACTCAAGTTGTTATCAGCTGGTTGACCTGTTACGGACAGAGACTATCACACAGAACCGATGAAGAAGACGATCAAGGAAAAGAAGCAAACCCTGATAGCGCTTAGGGGTAAGTTAAATTTTGCTCTTTCACATGCAAGCTACACTCACTTACACACTAATTCTAAAAGAAAACAAGATGAGAACTCAGATAGCGAAAAAGACTCTGGTGGATTTGTAAAGCCAACCAAAACTGCTAAATTACCAAAAAAAGCACCTCCAAACTTAATTGACACTCAAAATAGTTTTAATGCATTATCGCAGTCTACCATCCAAGCAGATACTAGAAATGATTCTACTCAATCATCCCAAATAATCAATAACACTCACACAGAAAATAATAAAAGCCCAACATTGATTATGATAAAGCCGGAAGATGGTGCCGCTTACAACCAATACCTTAAAAAAATCTCAACCTTTACAAAAGCAGCATTCTTTGGAAAAGTCAGTGGAGAATATCTCAAATTATTACCCAGCACCCCAGATGATCACCGCCAACTAACATTTGACTTAAAAGCACATAACATAGAACACTATGTAATTACACTTAGACACAAAAGGCCAATAAAAGTTGTCATCAGAGGATTACCCATCTCAACAGATAAAGACGAAATTTCAGCAGAATTAACAAACTTAGGCTACACAGTTTACAGAGTAGTTCAATTAACTCATTTTAAAACTAAACAACCTATGCCTTTATTTCAGGCCCAACTCATGCAAACAGCCAATATTGAAAATATTTATAATGAAACACACTTAGGACTTTTCATGATCATCATAGAAAGATACATTAATAAAAGCATAGTTCCACAATGCCACAACTGTCAGAGATTCCACCACTCATCAGGTAATTGCTTCTTTTTGCTCAGATGTGTTAAATGTGCACAAAACCACAAAACTTCAGATTGCCCTACACTAGGAAAAATAGATAAACCAGTCTGTACAAACTGCTCAAAAAATCACCCAGCATCCTACCGCTGTTGCGAGAAATTTCCAAAAAATCTACCTAGAAATAACAACAGTACACCAAATTTAACTTCCAACCAAAAAAACACAACTTATCATTCAGCTACATTTACTGAAGGTAAAAGTTATGCCCAAGCCATATCAAAGCACATACAAACTGCTAAAAACCAGAATAACAGTAACCAAGATAATTACAATAATTTTTCTGACATATTTTCTACTTTAAAAGAATTGAATTCTATTTTTGGAAACAGTAATATATCAAAATTATTCAATCTATTATGATCCAATTTGGATCAGCTCAGAAAAGCAGATACTCCTATGAAAAAGCTATTTTTACTCTTCAATATATGTGAAAAAGCAAACATCTTTAATTAATACTTGATAGGGAAAAAAATGTTGAAAAATTTTCAAAGTTAATTAATACATCTTGCATCACAGCTTGCATGTGACCCTCCTCAGCCTCTCAAATTCTAACTTCTTTTCAAACCTGCCATTGGATGCTTCTGTGTCACATGACCTGCCTCAACTTTAGATAATCCAGCCTCTTCTCCACCCAGTTCAAGCGACGACGCCTTCAGTGTTAGACGTTACTTCTCTCATAGCGCATTGCCTGCCTGTATTCCTGATGTTGTGTCTCAACTCTCCGGTTGCGGATTTCCAATTGCTTTTGTCATCTCTACAGTCTACTGCTCATCAAAGACTAATGCCTTAATTATTGCTTTTCACTATGATATGCCTTCACGCATCTTATGGAAGTAATGATCGAAAAGTGACATAACATCGATTGGGATAGGACTCCAGTCCAGGCGCCCATTGCAACGAACGTTTCGTTCACGGATGATACCAAGCAATAGGTCACCACCTGCAGTGTACACTGCTTAGCGAAGATGTTGGTAGTAATCGTTGCTACAAGGAAATTGTCGATGAAATGAAGGCTCTGGAAGGCCAAGGAGCACAAATGCGAGGCAACATAGGATGATTGTTCGCCAAGCCTGAAATGCCACAACGGTATCATTGTTGACTATTCAACGCACTACAGCTACGTCTATACCTCCCGTGGTACCATCCACCATCTCACGGCGATCGTTCTGATTCGGGATTACGCTCACAGAGGCCTTTTAAACGTTTGCCTTTGACCCCACAACATCGGCAGAGTCGTCTTGAGTAGTGTCACAGCCGATCATCATGGCTGCCATCGGAGTGGCATCGTATAGTGTTCAGCGATGAATCCCGCTTTACTCTTGAAGCAGATGACCACTGTGTTCGTGTCTGGAGAGGACAGGGCCAATGGCCCCAGTCAGCCTTCGTTTTACAAAGGCATACAGCCATAACCCCTGGTGCGATGGTGTGGGGCACTATTTCTTATGACAGCAGGTCATCTTTAGTCATCCTCCGTACATCTTAAACAGCTCAACGATATGTTGATACCATCCTGCGGCCAGTTGTATTACCCTTCACATCATCCTGGGGCCATTTTTCAACAAGATATCTCTGATCTGTCTCCGTGCGGTTGATACTCTTCCTTGGCCATCAAGGTCACCAGACCTTTCACCAATCGAGCATGTCTGGGGCATAGTAGGCCGCCAGATTCAGGCACCGCAAAATATCACAGATCTAGAACAACAACTGATGAATGCCTGGCAGAATGTGTCGCAAAATGACATTAGAAACCTCTACCACTCCCTGCCTCGACGAATTCAAGCATGCATTGCCGCCAGGGGTGGTTCGACCAACTACTAATTTGAATACTCAATGGGTGAACTGTGAACAGGTACTATGACCTTGATTTTTTAATCATTTTATTATCTGGGTATGAGTTATACACATATTCAATTTCCTCGAAAAGAACCACTTCCTTCATGGTGCTTCGATTTTTTTTGCAAAAGAGTATATATCAAAGCCCAAATGCTAAAGATCTGGTTTTTATAATAAGCCTGAATTTGTAAGATTTTTAAGTGAAGGTAAAGTTTTATTGTTAGATCTAATTTTAGTGAATTCTGTCAGATAAAATTTAGAGAAAACTGGACTTTGAACAATTATTTGATAAACTTAGCAGTAGTATGTACTGTGAAACATTTGAATTGATTGCTCAGGCAGAAAATAAACCTGTGGATACATTAATACTATTTATAAAACCAGCAACATTTCAAACATATGAATGAAATGGTTTCTTTACTAATTCTGCCACTGTCAACATCAGCTGTATCAGTAGAATAACCTTACTACTAAGACAAATCAGCAGCTGATTAATATTAATTATTACATTTGGACATGTACTTTAATGAAGTCATTATAACCAAGCAAACCTGAATTGGGACTTTGATATAAACTGTTTAACAATCTTAACTAATTTTACAAAAATTTTCACTTCAGTCTTAAAACTGAATTTAAAATTTTTATCATTATTTTTTATGCTATACAATATTCAACAAAGGTAATATGCAAGTATAATTGATGCTAACTCCCATACATTAATATATATATATATATATTTGTAATGTTTTTGATGCGTAGTTGTGATAGCAGAGCAGCAAGACAGGATGAAGGTGTTGATACCAAACCAAGTTCAGCTAATTACCATCTTTATTTACAGGCACATTAGAATAATTCTTCATAGGCAATATATTTTTTATCATAAACAATTACAATAATTTCTGATATACACAGATTAATGGGCAATATCATTTTAAACGGACAAGCAAAGTAGTGTGAATGTTGACATGGTGGAGGCTAGGAGAAGAAGATGATGCAGTTTATTTGTGAGCGGTATTTATACTAAGTACATGCGGAAAGTACTTTAAGCTATGATTGGTTAATTTGAGTTTGTTACATAACATAGAAGGATCTCAAATTTGGGAGAACAGATGAATTTAGGGGGACAGCTCCAAACCTAGAATCGTTAATTTTGATGTCGCCAATTATTTTTAAAGCAGCTATCATATTTTCATATATCTTACACATATATATGTATATTGTGTTGAACAGCAAGCTCTACATAATTTAGGATATGCCCCTGATTATCAGCTACTTATTTTGTCACTTTTCTCATCAGTGATGTGTCTTAATGGCCCTTTTATTGCACCATATGTGATTATAAAGTTACAACAAAGGATGTGAAAAATTATGGACCATAACCCACTTTTGTATTGTATTAATGCTAGTTGTTATTATTTGTTTTTTAATCGAGAAATCTGTTAATGCTTGAGCATTCCTGTCAGTTGTCTGCGAGTGCATTACACAAATCAAAATTCTGTGTGGCTGAATGAAAATATTTTTTTCAAAAAAATTTTCTTTTAATTTAATTCTGTTTTAATTTTTGTGTTTTTTTCCGCTATGTGTAAAACAACAAAGAATTATATCTGCTTGGAAATTGTTTATTAAAAATGCTCTGTATTATCCAGATGAAGAGTTTTCAGACGAAGGATTTTAAAAAGACGAAGGGTTTTAAATTGAGTTTTCTGCCTGCTGATGTCATCAGGGCTGGTGCTGCTGCATATGGTAACAGAGTTTTGGGGTAGTAAAATATTTAGAATTTAGCAGCAAAATTTAGGAAAGACAGACACTGCACCAGGTGGGAAAAAGCTTAGCACCACCCCTGGATGTCACCTTTTTCGTACAGTTTATGGATCAAGACATAACAGAAGCTACAAAGTAATATTCTGGGGAGGGGGAAATCATTCCTTATTATCTAAACATTGAATACGATATTCGCGAAAGACTTTCAAAAGACTTTTAAAAGGGCATCCAGATTTCATTGAGAAAGTTTTATAACATGTTGTTAATTTTTGAACTATAAATTACAAACCCCTCTTTATTTTTTCCGCTAACAACGAATCTTTGTATTTCTCTTTCATTTCCTCATTAGCATGAAAACTGTGAGATTATTATGCCTCACCCATATTTTAGGAATACTGGTTTATACTACACTTTCATATGTTAAATTGGAATGTGAATTAAACCATATTGCTATTTCTTGATGCTTGTCCCTTAACCATGACTTAGATTTTGCACATTTGAAGTCATTTTGTGTGTTTGTTTTAGCTTGAACAAAAGGAAATTACTTATTTAATTTTCTAATAATATTTCCACTTGCAGTGTATTACAACATTCAATGGACTCGACCTATAAAGATGAAGGACCTCTTCCTAGGTTTCGTGTTGAAATGGCTATATTTTATATTGTCTTCTTCATAGTGTTTCCTTTTTTCTTTGTTAACATCTTTGTGGCCTTAATTATCATCACCTTCCAAGAACAAGGCGAAAAGGAATTGGAAGAAGGTGACTTAGACAAGAATCAGGTGTGTATCTTTAATTTATCAACAGGAAGAGGGTACTTTTTAAACCTGCTTTAAGCTTCATTCTGTTTTGCTCATTTTGAGGAAGGAGGAGGAATTGCATTTCAGTAGATTTCATAAGAAACTTTCCTTAATGTTTTCTCTATTAGTTATAAATTTAGTTTTTATGCTATTACGAAGTAAAAAAAAAATCATTGCTTTTTCATATTTTATGCCAAATAGATAACATTAAATGACTTTTTAATTATATTTTTTAATTAATTTTTTATTTTTTAAAATTCTACAAGGCCGAGTGGTTTTTAAAATCATTTAATAACTTTTTAAAAATTTATGTAGCTACTTTTTTCTTTGAGTAATACATTTAATGTTCATTAATTCAGTAAACTCTACAAAGATTAGTTTTTCATCTGAATTTTGAGTTTTCTTTATTTGAATAAATATATGTGTAATTAAGTTTTTTTCACATCTTGTTGTACCCATAAGATATTTTCAAGACATTATATATACAGATGGAGGACAAAATAACGCGAACACCTGTGAAAAACTATGACGTATTTCACACCTGCAGTACAGCAACGCCACCTGTAACAGAAGTCTGCCACCTAGTGAGCGTGAAGAGGAAGGTATCAGTCTCTCAACAGCAGTCACCTGCGTTGCATGCTTCGATATAACTGTCTGTGAGAAGTTGAAATGTCAGAGTTCCAAAGAGGAATGATAGTTGGAGCGCGTTTAAGTGGAGCATCGGTTATGGAAACAGCAAACCTTGTGGGGTGTGCAAGGAGTATGGTATCAGCCGTTATGATAGCGTACACGAAAGAGGGTAAGACGATGTATTCAAAGCACAACAGTGGATGAAAGTCAAAGCTGGCTGATAGGGATAGACAGGTCTTGAAGCGCATAATAGCCCAAAAGCACAAGCAATTGTTATCCGAGGTAACATCTGAAATGAACAGTCATCTCCAAGACCCTGTTTCAACAAAATCTGTCAAAAGGGAACTTCATGCTGCGAACATTTATGGCAGAGTGGCAATTCGTAAACCCTTGGTGACAGCAACTAATGCTTTCAAGCGATGCCAATGGTGCAAAGATCACAAAGGATGACCCCACAGTAGTGGCAACTGGTAATATGATCAGATGAATCATCATTAACCCTATTTCAGACGACGGGATGCGTTTATGCCTGGAGAACGCCCAAAGAAGCGTTTCATCCTGACTGCCTCATGCTGACTGTAAAGCATGGAGATGGCCCCATTAGGGTTTGGGGGGTGATATCTTGGCACGGTCTTGGGCCACTTGTTGTTTTGCATGGGAGGATCACATCCAATCACTATCTAAGCATTCTAGGGCGTTATGTCGATCCTTTCATCCAGATTGTATTCTCTGGGGAGCAACTGCTTTTTCAAAATGACAACGCCCCTATCCACACTGCTAGGTATATTCAAGAATGGTTCGTAGAGCATTACGATGCAATTGAACATCCCTCTCAGACTTGAATATTATTAAACATTTATGGGCATATTTGGAATCCAAACTTCATTCCCGATTTCCAGCTCCATCCAGACTTTCGAAATTAGAAACTGCTTTGCAGGAGGAATGGCTTAATATTCCTTTAAATATTGTCCATGACCTTTATGCATCTATCCCACATCGCATTCAATCTGTACTTCAGTCAAAGGGTGGTCCAATGCCCTATTAATAAAGATTTTCCATTATTTCACAGATGTTCATATTATTTTGTCCTCCATCTGTATATATATATTTGGCACCATCAATAATACTGTCATTTAATTAATTTGTAATGCCTTGAAGAATCCCTTTTTAAGTTGTTACTATTTACATCTTCCATAAAACTGCACTGGACAACAAACAAAATTATTGTCAGTTGATGATGATTGAAATCTTCATTACTGTAAAATTAATTAACTTCATTATTGTAAAATATATGCTTGAATTTACTGTTAAGTTTGTCATTTAAACAGTTAATTTATCCTGACTTAACACCATTTTGTAACAACTGTTATTTTCTTATCGTGAGTGTTTCTAACATGCCATGATAAATTGATCACAAAATTTTTAAATCAGTTTCTTTCTGTGTACATTATCATTATTAATATTAAAAATAAAATCTAATGGCTGTGAGAAAATATTTTCATAAATATAGATTCCAAACCTTGACTTATATTTTTTAATTTTGTCCAAATGGTAATATACTTTTTTATTAAGTATTCTTCACATCATTTTCAAAATGAATTTTAACTTCTTTTTTAGTTTATTTATTTATTTATTTTATTCCCCCCTTCCCTAATTTCTTTTAAATGTCAGTAGTTAAACTGCTTTTTGTTATTTGATATCCAAGTATAAATTTCAGGTCTGATTTTTCGATATATATCTTGAATGCAAACACAATCGTTAGAATATTTTCAATCTGCTATTGCTTTCCATTTAAAACAGAGTCTGCAGATCTCATGCACAGTTGTTCCTTTTGATCTTTTTTATCTCTTTTGCATATATGAAGATTTAACTTCAGTATCCCAAATCAGGAGTGTCAACCCTTTAAGAATTTATAATTTTTTTTATCCCGTATAGTTGCATAATAACATGATTTTTAGATTTTTTATTTTGCAGCATTTATTATTTTTTAGATATCATATTTTGATTTCACTAGTTTTGATTATGGCGAAGTAAGTGAGGACTATCTGCCTAAGGGAAGAGATGCCATCATGGAGGATTTTGTAAAGGAAACTGGCTTGTACACATGTAAAACATGAGGAAAGCCATAAAACCACTCATGCAGCCAGCCCATTTATCTAGAATCAAACCCAGGCCAGACTGCCAGTGTTCACTGACTTTATCACTCAGCCGCTGGTGGCCCCAGGTTATATACTATATCTAATATATTTATGTGATGAAAAGGGCATAGCAATGTTGATGGTGTAGAACAGGGGTCTCCAAACTTTTCAACCCGCTAGCCATATTGGCTCTTTCACAAAGCTGCAAAGGCCAAGATCCAGTTAATTTATCATACCATGGCAATGCAACTATGATGAACAGCATACACGTTTTTAAATGAAGCAGTGAGATTTTTATGATTGGATCTATACCCTAAGATCTTATGAAGACTACTGTTTTTTAGACTTTCATGCAGTTTCACCTAATATAAATTTCTTAAAGCTGTTTTTAAATATTTGCAAAAATAGACCTTTGTCCCAGAATATTACAGATTTCTTTAATTTAGTATGTACTTTACTTTCCAATCGATTTATCAGCGAATTTTGTTTACATTTTGATCAGGTGCAAACTTTCACTCATAAGTATTTCATATTTTGGGCAAATTTTGTGTGAAAAAAAAAATCTCCAAAATTAAAATAAATTACAACATATACAGAACAAAAATTAAGATTTAAATAAAATCACTACTGAAAAATTTTCATGAACTTACTGCTATGAAAGTAGGAAAGATAACACACGAAACCTTTATTCTTGTAAAAAGTACAATGAGAATTTTTTGCTTCCTTATATGAAGTAAGAGAAGTATCATAATCGAGAAAAATTTCTAATATCGTATTTCAACGAAAATATCCATTCTGTATTCCCAGGGCTGTTCCTAGCAGGGGTGCAGTGCTTAAAAGCAGTTCCGGATTATAACTCTGAATCGTATTTGGTATGTTGTTCGCTAAAACAGCTCTCTAATTTTAGTACAATTTTAATAGTTTTAAGGCCAAGTTTAAAAACCTCTTTTAAGAAGATTAATAATTAAATACTAAGAACCCCTTTAAAGGAACATGAGTTAAAATAAAGTTAAGTACAACCGATTACAACTATAAATATAAGATTAGAAAGATGCAAATAGAGGGACTCCAGGCGTCACTGATAGAATCAAACTGACCCTATCAGTAACGTCTGAAATCCCTCTATCGTTTCCTGTCTGGCCGAGGTGTATTCAAATAAGAAATAGGACGATAGCTTGTTGAAGGAGTCGCCTGGTTTCCATAGCAAAGTCTGCTGAGAAATGGAGAAGCATTGTAACTATTTTCTAAGATCTAATCCAAAAAAATTAACCTTGGGCCATCCCGGACAAATGAAATAATTCAAATTAATATTCGTCGAGTATATACAAGACACCATCATTATGTCTTCAAGATGAAGCAAGGCATTTAGATTTCTTTGCAGCCAGTCAGCAACATAGGCTCACCTTTGGTTTGACTCGGAACAGTGGAGCGTATTTTGGATTTTAAAGCGAGATTAATTATTTTTAAGGTTATTTTTTATTTTCAGTCTCTTCTGTACTCTTATTTTTTAATATGCTTGCTTTTAATAGCCCGCACTATATTTAGCGAGACGCGACCATTTATTTAGGACTGTTCAGTGTAATTACGTCAATTCTTAGTTATTCTTATTAAGGCAATTCGTAGTGAATTTCATTTAGATTAAAAGAAACCATCTGCGCGCTGAGGGGGAGAAAAGCGGAATATAGAAAACGAGCCAAAGATAAGGCCAAACAGAGAAAACAAATTTCAGCTAAGATAAAAAAACAACTTTAAGGAAGAAGTAAACTGTCAGACCCTGCCGCAATTCCGATTATGCTGAGATTCTAGAGAGTATTAATATTTCTTTCAATTTGTATGACCAAACATGACTGCCTATATCATCCCCAAACAATCTACAAGTCAGCATTTGAAAGAACAACCTTCTTCATCGACATCAAATGAATAGTTGGAGGACATGAACTAAGATATAAAGATCTCTTCATTTGGATGGGAGCGGGCAGCAGAAAGACGAGAAACTAAAAACTTTTGAATTGTTGGACTCATGCAGTTGTCTGGTCATAGGAAAAAATAAAAGATCATCAACAATCTTTCTAAGGTAGTCAATCAGTATCATTAGCCAGTAAACGTCCAGAAAATGTAAACCTCAGTCCCATTGAACGTGATGGCAGACATTTGACATGTAATACAGAACATTACTAAATAATGAAAAGCTTAGGAAATCTTGGTTTATATATT